CTAGTCTTTGTACCTTGAGTTGCCACAACCCACAGCGGCTGGTTGGCGATGCTTTGAGTGGACACGTGCCAACATGTGCATAGTTTGGCTAATAGGAGGGTGGCTCAGCGGCGGCTCTGCCTGAAACACGGGTCTGCCGGGCTCTGTTGATGGGCAGGAGTCACCTGGAGCAGCAAGCACGCTGCTTTCCACAGCGGAGAGCAGTGGGCTAGCTGATGCAAGCCAAAGCAAGCGCCAAGCAGCTAGTGCGGAGTCGGCGAGCCAGGAGATGCCGGCATGTGGCAGATTCATTGCGTTGTAGCAACGCGCCGATGGGGGCTGTGATGCTTTGTATCTTGTTTGTTTGCTTTGCTGGGAACCAGTAAAAGGAACATAAAGTGATGGATGCTGAACCGTCGGCTGGGGCAAAGGACATCGTGTTGATAGCTAGTGTTTTGTCTAGTCTTTTTACCTTGAGTTGCCACAACCCACAGCGGCTGGTTGGCGATGCTTTGAGTGGACACTTGCCAACATGTGCATAGTTTGGCTAATAGGAGGGTGGCTCAACGGCGGGTCTGCCGGGCTCTGTTGATGGGCAGGAGTCACCTGGAGCAGCAAGCACGATGCTTTCCACAGCGGAGCCGAGCAGTGGGCTAGCTGATGCAAGCCAAAGCAAGCGCCAAGCAGCTAGTGCGGAGTCGGCAAGTCAGGAGATGCCGGCATGTGGCAGATCCATTGCGTTGTAGCAACGCGCCGATGGCGCCCGCAGTGCTTTGTATTAAGTTTGCTTGATGTGCTGGTAATGAGAAACAGGAACGCTTAGTCATGGATGGTGAACGGACGGCTTGGGCAAAGGATATCGCGTTGATAGCTAGTGTTTTGTCTAGTCTTTGTACCTTGAGTTGCCACAACCCACAGCGGCTGGTTGGCGATGCTTTAAGTGGACACGTGCCAACATGTGCATAATTAGGCTAATAGGAGGGTGGCTCAGCGGCGGCTCTGCCTGAAACACGGGTCTTCCGCTCTGTTGATGGGCAGGAGTCACCTGGAGCAGCAAGCACGCTGCTTTCCACAGCGGAGCCGAGCAGTGGGCTAGCTGATGCAAGCCAAAGCAAGCGCCAAGCAGCTAGTGCGGAGTCGGCGAGCCAGGAGATGCCGGCATGTGGCAGATTCATTGCGTTGTAGCAACGCGCCGATGGGGGCTGTGATGTTTTGTATCTTGTTTGTTTGCTTTGCTGGGAACCAGTAAAAGGAACATAAAGTGATGGATGCTGAACCGACGGCTGGGGCAAAGGATATCGCGTTGATAGCTAGTGTTTTGTCTAGTCTTTGTACCTTGAGTTGCCACAACCCACAGCGGCTGGTTGGCGATGCTTTGAGTGGACACGTGCCAACATGTGCATAATTAGGCTAATAGGAGGGTGGCTCAGCGGCGGCTCTGCCTGAAACACGGGTCTGCCGGGCTCGTTGATGGGCAGGAGTCACCTGGAGCAGCAAGCACGCTGCTTTCCACAGCGGAGCCGAGCAGTGGGCTAGCTGATGCAAGCCAAAGCAAGCGCCAAGCAGCTAGTGCGGAGTCGGCGAGCCAGGAGATGCCGGCATGTGGCAGATCCATTGCGTTGTAGCAACGCGCCGATGGGGGCTGTGATGCTTTGTATCTTGTTTGTTTGCTTTGCTGGGATCCAGTAAAAGGAACATAAAGTGATGGATGCTGAACCGACGGCTGGGGCAAAGGACATCGTGTTGATAGCTAGTGTTTTGTCTAGTCTTTGTACCTTGAGTTGCCACAACCCACAGCGGCTGGTTGGCGATGCTTTGAGTGGACACGTGCCAACATGTGCATAGTTTGGCTAATAGGAGGGTGGCTCAGCGGCGGCTCTGCCTGAAACACGGGTCTGCCGGGCTCTGTTGATGGGCAGGAGTCACCTGGAGCAGCAAGCACGCTGCTTTCCACAGCGGAGCCGAGCAGTGGGCTAGCTGATCCAAGCCAAAGCAAGCGCCAAGCAGCTAGTGCGGAGTCGGCGAGCCAGGAGATGCCGGCATGTGGCAGATCCATTGCGTTGTAGCAACAAGCCGATGGGGGCTGTGATGCTTTATATCTTTGTTTGATGTGCTGGGAACCAGCAAAAGGAACATAAAGTGATGGATGCTGAACCAGCAAAGGATCTGGTCTTTTCACCTGAAGTTCCCACAGCCCACAGCGGTTGGTGATGCTTTGCGTGGACAGGTGCCAGCATGTGCATAATCCCAGACTCGCTGTGTGTAAGAACCCTCTGCAAATTATAACGCTGACGTGTGTTGTTGCGCCCCAAGCTTCTCCTCAGCATCCTGCATCACGCAGGCCAGCCCAAACATTTGGACCCCAAAACATCCCCGGCCTCTCTGGCTTTGCGACGGGCTTCTGATGCCACGTTGCCCAACCTTCAAAAACTGTGTAAATTCCCCGCCGACATCCTCTGCATCCTCGCCAACTTCACCAGCATCCCCAGCATTCCTGCATCGCCAGCATCTGGGCTTTCCAGCGCCCCTTGCATCCCTTGCGTCCTTTGTCAGAAATTTGGCCCCCGAAGAGTAGGTTTTGGCGGTGGGCAGACATAGCGGGCATGTCTGCGATCAAGCGGGTTTTTTGCGCAAGTGGGGCCGGCGCCACTATGCAGAAAACATCGCAAATACCTTGTTGGTCATTCTCCACGGGTTTGTACACGGCTAAATTAGAGTGGATGCCGGGGATGCAGTCTTCCTCTGATTTGGCATTTGCCGCACATGAGCACGCAAGCGCCCGTACGGACGCACGCGTGCGTACACGCATGCACGCTCGCACGCACGCGCGCGCACGCTCACACCCACGCGCTGGGGTGGCTGGGTGGGTGGGTGGGTCGGTGGGTGGGGCGGTCGTGCGGGCGTGCGGGTGGGCGGGCGTAAGCCGCAGGATAGGAGGCTCAGCGGCGGCTCTGCCAGTGAAACAGGGGTTTGCCATTTGACAGGCTCTGTTGATGGGCAGGAGTCACCTGGAGCAGCTGGAGCTGCTGGAGATGTTGGCGCTGTTGGCTCAGAAGCGGCCAGAGCAATGGCAGCAAGCACGCTGTTTTCCACAGCGGAGCCGAGCAGCGGGCTAGCTGATCCAAGCCAAAGCAAGCGCCAAGCTAATGCGGAGTCGGCAAGTCAGGAGATGCCGGCATGACGCGCCGATGGCGCCTGCAATGATTTGTATCTTGTTTGTTTAATTAGGCTTAGGTGCGACGTACCGCTCGAAAAATTGGGAATCAGGAACGGGAACGGAAAGGACGGCTTGGGCAAAGGATATCGCGTTGATAGCTAGTGTTTTGTCTAGTCTTTGTACCTTGAGTTGCCACAACCCACAGCGGCTGGTTGGCGATGCTTTGAGTGGACACGTGCCAACATGTGCATAATTAGGCTAATAGGAGGGTGGCTCACCGGCGGCGCTGCCTGAAACACGGGTCTGCCGGGCTCTGTTGATGGGCAGGAGTCACCTGGAGCAGCAAGCACGCTGCTTTCCACAGCGGAGCCGAGCAGTGGGCTAGCTGATCCAAGCCAAAGCAAGCGCCAAGCAGCTAGTGCGGAGTCGGCAAGTCAGGAGATGCCGGCATGTGGCAGATCCATTGTGTTGTAGCAACGCGCCGATGGGGGCTGTGATGCTTTGTGTCTTGTTTGTTTGCTTTGCTGGGAACCAGTAAAAGGAACATAAAGTGATGGATGCTGAACTGACGGCTGGGGCAAAGGATATCGTGTTGATAGCTAGTGTTTTGTCTAGTCTTTGTACCTTGAGTTGCCACAACCCACAGCGGCTGGTTGGCGATGCTTTGAGTGGAGTGGACACGTGCCAACATGTGCATAATTAGGCTAATAGGAGGGTGGCTCACCGGCGGCTCTGCCTGAAACGCGGGTCTGCCGGGCTCTGTTGATGGGCAGGAGTCACCTGGAGCAGCAAGCACGCTGCTTTCCACAGCGGAGCCGAGCAGTGGGCTAGCTGATCCAAGCCAAAGCAAGCGCCAAGCAGCTAGTGCGGAGTCGGCGAGCCAGGAGATGCCGGCATGTGGCAGATTCATTGCGTTGTAGCAACGCGCCGATGGGGGCTGTGATGCTTTGTATCTTGTTTGTTTGCTTTGCTGGGAACCAGTAAAAGGAACATAAAGTGATGGATGCTGAACCGACGGCTGGGGCAAAGGACATCGTGTTGATAGCTAGTGTTTTGTCTAGTCTTTGTACCTTGAGTTGCCACAACCCACAGCGGCTGGTTGGCGATGCTTTGAGTGGACACGTGCCAACATGTGCATAGTTAGGCTAATAGGAGGGTGGCTCAGCGGCGGCTCTGCCTGAAACGCGGGTCTGCCGGGCTCTGTTGATGGGCAGGAGTCACCTGGAGCAGCAAGCACGCTGCTTTCAACAGCGGAGCCGAGCAGTGGGCTAGCTGATCCAAGCCAAAGCAAGCGCCAAGCAGCTAGTGCGGAGTCGGCGAGCCAGGAGATGCCGGCATGTGGCAGATTCATTGCGTTGTAGCAACGCGCCGATGGGGGCTGTGATGCTTTGTATCTTGTTTGTTTGCTTTGCTGGGAACCAGTAAAAGGAACATAAAGTGATGGATGCTGAACTGACGGCTGGGGCAATGGATATCGTGTTGATAGCTAGTGTTTTGTCTAGTCTTTGTACCTTGAGTTGCCACAACCCACAGCGGCTGGTTGGCGATGCTTTGAGTGGACACGTGCCAACATGTGCATAATTAGGCTAATAGGAGGGTGGCTCACCGGCGGCTCTGCCTGAAACACGGGTCTGCCGGGCTCTGTTGATGGGCAGGAGTCGCCTGGAGCAGCAAGCACGCTGCTTTCCACAGCGGAGCCGAGCAGTGGGCTAGCTGATCCAAGCCAAAGCAAGCGCCAAGCAGCAGCTAGTGCGGAGTCGGCGAGCCAGGAGATGCGGCGTGTGGCAGATTCATTGCGTTGTAGCAACGCGCCGATGGGGGCTGTGATGCTTTGTGTCTTGTTTGTTTGCTTTGCTGGGAACGAGTAAAAGGAACATAAAGTGATGGATGCTGAACTGACGGCTGGGGCAAAGGATATCGTGTTGATAGCTAGTGTTTTGTCTAGTCTTTGTACCTTGAGTTGCCACAACCCACAGCGGCTGGTTGGCGATGCTTTGAGTGGACACGTGCCAACATGTGCATAATTAGGCTAATAGGAGGGTGGCTCACCGGCGGCTCTGCCTGAAACACGGGTCTGCCGGGCTCTGTTATTGGGCAGGAGTCACCTGGAGCAGCAAGCACGCTGCTTTCCACAGCGGAGCCGAGCAGTGGGCTAGCTGATCCAAGCCAAAGCAAGCGCCAAGCAGCAGCTAGTGCGGAGTCGGCGAGCCAGGAGATGCGGCGTGTGGCAGATTCATTGTGTTGTAGCAACGCGCCGATGGGGGCTGTGATGCTTTGTGTCTTGTTTGTTTGCTTTGCTGGGAATTAGTAAAAGGAACATAAAGTGATGGATGCTGAACTGACGGCTGGGGCAAAGGATATCGTGTTGATAGCTAGTGTTTTGTCTAGTCTTTGTACCTTGAGTTGCCACAACCCACAGCGGCTGGTTGGCGATGCTTTGAGTGGACACGTGCCAACATGTGCATAATTAGGCTAATAGGAGGGTGGCTCAGCGGCGGCTCTGCCTGAAACATGGGTCTGCCGGGCTCTGTTGATGGGCAGGAGTCACCTGGAGCAGCAAGCACGCTGCTTTCAACAGCGGAGCCGAGCAGTGGGCTAGCTGATGCAAGCCAAAGCAAGCGCCAAGCAGCTAGTGCGGAGTCGGCGAGCCAGGAGATGCCGGCATGTGGCAGATCCATTGCGTTGTAGCAACGCGCCGATGGCGCCTTCGACAGGTTCAGCGAAGAGTTTGTTTGCCAACTTTGGTTGTGTGCTTGTCGGTTGGCTTGGCGTTCACTGTGACTGGCCGGTGCGAGCCGGCATGCCAGGGTCCAAAGAGTCCAAAGGGCGAGGCTGGTGAGTGACCGAAGTTCCGGTTTGAAGTTACTCTTTCCATCCGATGTGAAGGCCATAGACACAGACGCCTTTGACAGCATCATGGCGCCTCGACACATGCCTTCACCTTTCCCGGCAGCTTCGCAGCTGAGGAAGCCGCCCAGCAGCGGATGCGGCGGCAGTCCTTGAAGTCCGAGGTGACAACAGCGCCTCGACTTGACGACGGGGACTTTCGGAGTTTTTCACACTGAGGCCAAGCCATGCGAAGCCTCGCACGTCCCCAGGACGTTGAGCGAGTTTGAAAAAGAGATCCAAAGGACTCCGATTCGAGCGGCGCTTCAGGCGCCGGGCGTCCCTGGCTCCTCGGCGCCGACGGCACGCCCAGCTTGTCACGCGCTGGGCGCACGAGTCTCCGGCCAGGAGGGCACGCCAGTCCATGCGGATCCTCAAGCAGGAATCCACCGGAATGCACGGAATCCGTGAAGTCATGGAATCCAGAAAGGCCAAGCGGGTGCAAATCCGTGAAGACATGTGTCAGGCCTCAGAATCTGGCTCGCAAGCTCAGTGAGCGCAGCGAGCGCAGCGAGCAGAGTGAATTAAAGGCGCATGACTTGTGTCTCAGCTCTCAAGGTGAGGAGGCTTCCATGTCCTCAGACACGGAAATCATCAGCGAAGCTGAGGTTGAGGCCAACGCCTGCAAGTCGAGAAAACAAACGCTACGCTAGAAGCAACGTCACCAAATAGCAAGCAAATCAGGTGAGCGACAAGGCGTGTTTGACCATCCTGCGGTGGAAGGACTTTGCCTTGGGATGCTTGGGATGCTTGGGATGCTTGGGATGCTTGGGATTGGAGGGTCTTGGAGCTGACCCGCAGGACTTGCCGCAACAGATCCTGGAGTGGTTGAAGCGCAACCTGATACAGCTCGGCACTGAGAGGCTGAGGGTGCTGAGAGCTGAGTCTGAGAGCCGAGTCGAGTTGTTCTGTGCTGAGGAGCGAGCAGGCAGAAGCGCACGGTGCGCAAAGGTTGAAAAAGTTGAAAGCAACGCTCCCCAAAGCAAGAGCTTGAGTTGGAGTGTGTTGAAAAGGCGCAAAGAGGCGACACCTTTTTCTTTTTTCTTTTTTTCTCTCTCTTTCTTCTCTTTCTTCTTCCTCTCTCTTTCGGCTTCGGCTCTCTTGAGAGTTCGAGGTACGTCCTGGGAGGCCTTTGAGCTCTCCGCCTGGCCGGAGCTCACCCAGATCCGGAGGAGCGGATGGACGAGTCGAGAGAAGCGGAAAACTTCGAAAGACGAAGAAGGACGAAGAAGGACGAAGAAGGACGAAGAAGGAGGAAGAACAGAAAACGAGGAAAAGAAAGAAGAGTCCGAAAACAGCTCTGAAAGACAGATGAGAAGAGAGAGAGAGAGAGAGAGAGAGAGCAAAGACACTCGACGAAAATCCGAAGTCTCAGAAAGTCCGAAACTCTGAAAAGACAAATCTCATCGGAGCGTTTCATAGAGAGAAAGAGAAAGGAATTTCGGAATTTCGGAATTTCGAAAGCGTCCGAAGAACAAGTTGAACGAGAGTGCCTTCTCCAATCGAAGATCGCTCCATCCAGAGTCCGAAAGCGGACGAGAGAAAGTCCGGAATCCGAGGGCAAGAAACAAATTTGAAATTCGAGAAAAAAGCTTTTCGTCCACGGCACTCCGAATAAGAAGCGTCCGATTCCGACCGGAAATCCCGAACTTTCCAGTTCAGATCGAGTTTCGGATTTCCTGTTAGGCATCAGATGGCCTGCAGCTGAGCCATCAGCTCAAGGAAAATCAGCGCCCCAAGCTCAGGTGGATGATTTCGAAGACTTTTTGGAGAAGTTGGGCCGTTCCAAGCGGGGCAGAACGCTGGTGTGTGCCGTGTGGTTGCCAATCCTAATGTTTTTGCCTGTGCCAGGCCATCAAGATATCAACTGAAATCCAAGCTGAGGCAGATTCTGGAATTCGGACCGCGGTCTTTGTCCGATGCTTTTGAGCTGTGCAGGGAGAGCCTGAGCCATGAACCCGACCCCCGGAGGTTCGCGCGAGGGAGCGAGGTCGGTTGGGTCGGTTGGGTCGGCTGGGTCGGCTAAGGCGAAGCAGATCACAAGGCGAACGAGTCACAGAGCGAGTCACGAGTGGGAGAAGACAAGACTCAGCTCGACTCGGCTGTGAGAGAGTGCTTGTGCTTGTGCTTGTGCTTGTGCATGCTTCCAGCTTTGCAACCGGCATCGCGACAGAACCAATGCTGTGCACATCGCTGCTTCCCTTCTATGAGTTTCCTCTGGATGCCGGGGTCCCATGCTGACGAGAACACAACTGAACAATATGGCTATGAGTTTTAATTGGGGACCCTATGGTGGACATCATTCAGGTGGGGGATTCATGTCCAGCAACCACTTTTGAGGGGGTTCCCATTAAGATTCATAGCCATATGGCCACGGTTCAAAACCGATGGTACCATTTTGGGATAGGTACACCACCCATCTTAGTCTATTTCAGTGGGGATTGGGATGTTCACTGGGGGTACGGGGCTTTGACCCATGGCCATATGAGCACATGTCGCAGGTGGACCCTGTGCAGCAGCCCAAGAGTCAACTCTGTCTTGGCGATTTATTTGAGCGAGGATCATCTCCGCCAGTTTGCGCAGAGCCTTGCCACGCCGCTGTGAGCGTCCAGGCGCTCGCGCGGGTCGCGCGTCGCGCGCCGCGCGCCGAGCCGCGCGCCGAGCCGCGCGCCGCGCGCCGCGTGGCGGGGATCAACGGATCGGATCGCAAGGCTCGCCTCACTTGAGCGTTGCGACGTCACATTCGGAGCTGCTCGGCGGAACGGCGGAACGGAATGGGAGCTTTGCGGAGTGAGCACAGAGATTGAGGCGATCCCCGCGACCGATTCTGGGCCTGGTGGGCCTTTTTTTGCACTTGACATGGATACTTGAGGGTACGACTTGAGGCATCAATACTTGGAAGCATCTTGGCCAGATCTGTAAGGTGCGGGACTGAGAGAGGTCTCTCTCATCTCACACTCGTACTCATTGCAGTCACTGTTGTCATTGCAGTCATTGCAGGCGCCAAAAGCAAGTGGGTCTCCACGCGCTGGGCCATGCTCCTATCATGGGCCCAATGCAGTTCTTGCTTCGTTGGCTCAGGCAACCGCGACCGCGAACAGCTCCGTCTCGAACAGGCTTGGCCCGAGCAAGATGCCCAGCGGGCGCCAGAGGGCCCACGGGAGAGATTTGAGCCACGTCACGGCCGACCCGTTGAGAGCTCTTCAAGCCCTCCTCGGCCCCACGGCCCTCCTCCTCCCGGCCCTCCCGGCCGACATGGCCCTCCCGGCCCTTGCGGCCCTCCCGGCCCTTGCGGCCCTCCCGGCCGCCATGGCCCTCCCGGCCGCCATGGCCCTCCCGGCCCTCCCGGCCCTCCCGGCCCTCCCGGCCCTCCCGGCCCTCCCGGCCGCCATGGCCATGGCCAGCCGAGCCAGCCGAGCCAGCGTGGCCATTGGGAGGTGCAGTTTCAGGAAAGCCGAGGCCGCGGCCGTGATCGGGACGAGCTGGGGCCGCCTCACAGGCGAGCCGGAGAGACCTCGATATCGATCGAAGCTCGCGCTCGCAGGATCTTCCGGCCCAGGGAGGAAGCAAAGAGGCCCGGAAGAGCCGCACCAGCGGAAACCGTGTGGCAAGCGAGGCCAAGATGGCAGGGCGCGTCTCCCCGCTTTCAAGACTACGTGGGCTGTGTTTCTTGGAGCTACCCAGTGGAGAGCTGAGCTTGCGTTGAGGGTAAGAATTTGGCACAAGAAATCCCAAGGCGGCTGAGGAGCCCAAGGCCGAAACAAAGACACGGGTAACGGAGGCAACGGAGGCAACGGAGGTGGCGGAGGTGGCGGAGGTTGCGAAGGTAGCTGAGACGGCAAAACGGAGACGGATGGAGACGGGTTTATTTGCTTTGGGTTTACGGTCGATTTGTTTCGCAGAGTTGAGAGCCGGAGGATGTGGCTGCGCGCACGGCAGAATGGCATCGCCTGCTGCAGAACCAGTTCAGGCGCTCACCCTCCCGAGTTTGGAAACGTCCGGAGACCTGAGGCTGTCAGATCTCAACGCAGAGGCCGAGGCTGGGAAGCTGGGAAGCTGGGAAGCTGGGAAGCTGGGAAGCTGGGAAGCTGGGAAGCTGGGAAGCTGGGAAGCTGGGAAGCTGGGAAGCTGGGAAGCTGGGAAGCTGGGAAGCTGGGAAGCTGGGAAGCTGGGAAGCTGGGAAGGGAGTTCGCGAGCGAGACAGGAGCCAAAGTTCCGCAGCACGCACATGGGCCGATCGCCTGACTTTCACTCGCATGCCGCGTATCTGTGAGCTCGCTGAGGTGTGAGCGCTGTGCCGAGCCTCCCACCACTGCCAGGGCCTTTCTTGGACAGGCATCCGGCTCGGACGCACGCGTGCCAGGAAGTTGGAGTGAGCCGGCCATTGGATTTTATTTGGATCCCATCTGGATCTCGTTGGCCCACAGTTTGGCCCATGGCCCCTCTTGTCCGCGTTGCCCCTTGTTTCACTCTGCTGATCCCAAGCTGGGGTTGGCACCGGCGAAAGCCCGGCAAAGATGCAATCGATCCGTGGAGCCTATCACATGTCGCATCGCTAGCCGCTAGTGCAGTTTCTTCAACGGGGATCAAGCTCATGGCGACAGGCGCAGATGCGAACATCCCTTGTGCAAACTGATTCTGCAAGTAGAGGCAGTCTCAGGAGCTGACACGGCCCAAACCCAAACTGCGGCCACAGCACGACTGCAATACGTGCAGGCACAAAAATAGGCGTTTTGGGTGTATGCAGGACAGCTCTCTCCTTGGCGCTCGCCAATTGCGATGGGTGTTTGAGACATCTCTGTGCGTCGAGAGGACTGTGAGAACAGCCAGTTTCACTCCAGTTTTCTTTTGACGTTCTTCTCGTTGCTGTTCGTGTAGTTTCCTTCCTTTCGGAGCTTTGACATTCAGGAGAGGAAGACACCTGGTGCCACGGGTGCCACGGGTGCCTCGGGTGCCGCGGGTGCCTCGGGTGCCCTCGGGTGCCCTCGATGGCCCGAGGCTGCAAAATCCGACCGACGATCCTTCGAACCCTTCGAATCCTCCGAATCCGAAGCAGCACTTCGGATCAACTAGACCGATTCTCGAGGCTCTTCCCATTTTGGGCGTAGCATTTGGTGCCCTGACCGAAGTGTGAAACAGGACGTTTTGTGGGATGAAAAGAAGCGCATTCGAGTTGAGCGCAATATGGAAAACAAGTTGGCATCGGGGAGGGAAGTAGGAGAAACACATGAGTTCAGAGGGGGAGAGAGAGAGAGAGAAGAAAGAGAGAGAGAGAGAGGGGGACTTAGCTCTTAGAAGAGGACAGGAGCAGAGGGAGAGAAGAGGATTTCAATGATTTCAATTCAGATTCCCAAAAACCGTTTACTGTTGTGAGATTTTGCCAACATCTCAAGTCTGAGTGACGCTGGCCACGAATCCTGGCTCAAGCGTTGCCCCAGCTTCCAAGCTTCCAGCCCAAGGCTGGCGCATCGGCTTGCAGACCTGACTTTCAACTCACGCTCGACTCAGGCGACATGGGCCAGGTCGGGTCAGTGGGCCAAAAACACCATGCTTCCCTTGACTGCTCAGGGTAGCAGCACATCGCTGGCAAGACGGCAGCTTAGACATGAACTCTACACACACACAGGGCCCCGCTCGACTCACTGGACTCGGCCCCAGTAGGCACAGGGACGGCAGCCACCGGCTGACAGAACACTTAGGCCTGGAGCAATTCAGACACCGCCTCAGTAGCCCCGACCCTGCCAGCCTCATTTTCAGCCAGTCGAATGTGCCTGTAACATCTTGTAACCTGTGTGATTGCATGCACGTTTGTACGTGTTGCATTTTGTGACCAGCCGTGCCTTGGCTGACTCAGCTTTAGGTGACGATGACCTGATCCGGGCTGCCTTTTCATTCCTTCGGTCGTGACCTAGCCGCACTGTTCTGCCACCAGGTTGCCCCGAAAGTTGAGTCGCCAAGGGTGCGGGTGGGAACAAGTAACAGCGCAGTGCCAACATTTGCGGTGAGCAACTGTCAAACTCGACAAACTCGACAAACTGGACAAACTCGAAGGAGGCCAAGTTTGGCAGAGCGCTTCAAGGCGCGCTTCTCCGCGCCGCTCGACTTCGAGGACCGCGAGATGTCGGGAACAGTGCACGGCCACGCAGGCCACGCATGTGATCCGATTCCAGACTTCGGCCTTCGGCTCAGGACCCTGGCAAAACCAGCCCGGAGGCACTGGCAAATGCAGGCCGGCTCGAAGGTCGAGACTTGTGACACTGCGACATGTGACGCATGTGACGCATGTGACGCATGTGACGCATGTGACGCATGTGACGGTTGTAGGAGGTATTACCATTCTGGCGGCGAGCTCCTGGAACCCGCCGCGGATTCATTGCAGCGAAGCTCAGCTCTCAGTTTGCGGCTTTCGAACAGCATTGCTTTGCACTTTGCACTCTCAGATGCTTAGGTGAGACCCGGGCAGCCAATGTCCTGGACGACGCTCCCAGGTGCGGAACAGGAGTGAAATATGGAAGGATGCAATGCGATGAAGCTGGATGAAGTGAATGTGTGAAGTGCATCGAGTGCATCGAGTCGGTATCATTTCGGAGTTGGTGCTCGAGTCGAGGCCTCTCCATGGTGAGCAGCAGGGTTGAGGGCTTCACTGGCTTTTGGGTCCTCAGCTTTCCCAGCACCAAGAAGATGGAGCGATCGCCTTAAGCCAACTTCAAGCTTCAAACAAGAAAGACATTGGAGAGCTGGTTTCAGCCAATTTGCCAGTCCGCTTGCCGCGCGATCTTTGTCGTTTAGGTTCCTTCTGAACGACGGCTGCAACAATTGGCTGAAGCCCCTTGACCACAAAGGAGGTGAGACCCCACACACCGACACACCGACACACCGCGCACAGACGCACAGACGCACAGACGCACAGACGCACAGACGCACAGACGCACAGACGCACAGACGCACGGACGCACAGACAGGGCGGGGTATCGTTTTGGTAAACGTTTGCGAGTCGTCCACAGATACAGACACCGAGACACTCAGAGAGACGCAGAGAGACAGAGGGACGCTGAGAGACACAGAAAGACAGAAAAAGACAGAAAGACACACAGACAGAGAGAGGGAGACAGGAAGACACTTGCAGAGACACACACACACACACACCATGAACGCCCACAGTCACACCACCCACAGCCACACACCCCACACACCCCCACACCGCCCACACCAACACCCACACCCAAACCCACCACCCACCCCCACACAGTCACTTTCGCTCGCACACACACTCACCCACCACACACACACACACCTGTGCACAGAAGCGTGTGCACACGCACATGTGCGGGCGGGCAAGCAGGCGGCTTGCAGCAAACCTCATTTGTTGAGACTGAACTTTAGAGCCTCCGGCTCACTCCGCCGCCATTTCCCTTTCTCCTTTTTCCGCTCTCTTTTCTCTTCCCGTCTTTGTTCCCTCGTCTAAGTCTCTGTCTCTCTGCCTCCCTCCTCGCTATGCCGCTATGCCTCTTGCTCCCCACCTCCTGTCTCTGCCTATCCCCCCCAGCCGTCGCTGCCCCCTCTTTCTGCCTCTCTCTCTCCCTTCCCCTCTCTGCATGTCCCGCTGCCTCTCTGCCTCTCTCGCTCTCTGTGTTTATCTCTCTCTCTCTCTTTCTCTCTATCCCTTCCTCTCGTCCGCTTCCTCGCCCCCCCCCCCCCCGTGGTTGGGAAGATTGCGTACAATATGGCGAAGTGCATTGCGCCAAGGTTTTGGCATGCAAGCATGCAACACGCACACACGCGCACGCGCGTACGCACGCACGCGCACGCAGGCGCGCACGCACATGCACACGTTCACGCGCGCACGCGCACGCACGCGTGCACACGCACACACACACACAAACAAACAAACAAACACACGCACACACACACAGCCCATGACATGCGCACACGTGTGCAAACACGTGCCCACGCAGTCGCGCCAACACAGTGAGGCTGAGTCCAGCTCCAGTTCCATCACACAGCTGCATAGCTTTTCAAGAACTAATCCGTGCACATTTATTCATCATGCACCATGCACCTTGCACCACATGCCGACACAAGCACCTACACAGCCAAACCACAGAACCACACTCACACAGTCACACTCTCAGAGCACAATTCCGACACATTTATACAAGGGCGTAGCCACACAATAGCAAATCACATACAAGTTGGTACTTGTTGTTGTTGAAGGGTGGAACCCCTCTTAGGGAAGAGGTCACGACGCTGTGCAAGTGCTCTTTGTGCGTTTGTTCTGGTGGTTGTCTAGCACATGCTTGAGATTCCATCTATTGTTATTTGAGTTCTGTGTTGACTATCATGTTCTAGTACACATGTAGTTGGTTTGTGTGGCATTGCTGTAGCATGCTTGTTTTAGCATGTAGCCACTTTGACTAGCATGAATGTGTTAATCATGTGTGTGGAATAGCATTCCTAGCATCAGTTTAGTATATGTGTAGAAAAGTCTGACCCATGGTTGCTAATGTGTGTCTAGCATACATATTGCTTTGCACAACTTTATGTTTCATAGCATATTTATCTGAGTTCTAGTGCTTCTAGCACAATATGTCTTGAGTAAAGCACAACTATCTGGCAGATGTTTTAGCTAAAGGACAGTCATATAGCAAACGTGGTGGGTAAACAAAAGCCTAGTTGGCAAAGCCTTCGGGTAAGGGCAAGCTATGTAGCGGAATGGTTGGGGAAAGGCAATCTATATTATGTGGTAGACATTTTGGGTAAAGGAAAGTGATGTAGCAAACCTTGTTGGGTGCAGGGAAACTATGTGGCACACTTTTCGAGTAAAGGGGTGTTAGGTAGCAGATCCTGTTAGGTAAAGTAACTTTATGTAGCGGGTGTTTGGGAAAGGAAAGGGTGTGTAGCGGGCGTTTTGACTAGAGAACATGTGTGTAAGAGACTTCTTGGGCAAAGGAAAGCCATGGGCAAATTCGAGTCTCCACAGAAGTAGATGGCTCACAGCATGCCTTGCTTTGTGAGGGGCGAACGTGGAGGGCGGGTGAAGCGGATGGGGAAAAGGGTAAGGGGGAGGGTGGGCTTTGATCAAAACCACAGCCAAATCTTTGCCAAAATCTAAAAAGGACACCCCTATGAACCCCCTATCCCTGGTGCTTGGATTGTCAGCAGACCTCAAGGTTAGGTGTGTGTGTGTGTTTATTGGAATTGCTATGAATTGGTGCCTTTTTGTTGCTTTTTTGAAGGAAGCCAAAAGAAAACAACAACCTTCCTTTTTGTGGGGGGGTCCATGTCGCATTTGGAGACAACTCCATATTAGCCACGGTCAAATTGTGCGATTGATCAACAGGAAATGGGGCAAATAGAGAGCCGTGGGAAATTTAGTCAGCCCCGATGTCCCTCGGGTGCCTTTTGGGGAGTTCTGGATTCATGCTTGCTCTAATTACAATAATTATTCCAAATGGAGGAGTGCCCCTTAGGGAATTCCACGATAATGTTTCTTCCAATTGTCATACGTCTTCCGAAACGGGCGGATGCCAGGAATTCCAGATTCACTTTTGCATGGGCGGCTTCCTTTTGGGGAACTTCAGATTCATTGTGTTTCGAATTACTTAAGTATTCCCAAGGGGTCAGATACCTTTGGGGAATTTAAGGTTCACCTTTTCTGATTACCCTACTGTTCAGAATTCGTCTAACAATTCAATTTATTCTCTCCGGGACGCGTGCATCTTTGAGAATTCCATATTCTAGCTGTTCCGACTATTCTAATTATTCCTACAGGGGCGGGTCCTTTTTTGGTTTTTTGCTAATTGTTCTACTTATCAACTAATCGAACTACCCTAAATATTCCCAAAGGAATGAGTGCATTTTAGGGGAATTTCAGATTCAGTTGTATTATTATTATCATAGGTGTTCCACAAGGGATATGTGCGGTTTGGGGAATCGTGGATTCAATATTCCTCCATTGTTTTTTTGTTCTAACTATTCCCAAATCGGAGAAACTTGGTTGGGGAATTCCATCTTCATGTGTTTCTAATTGTTTTAAATGTTCCCATGTTCCAAAGGGACAGCTGCCATTTTTCGGAATTCAACATTCATGTTTTGCTATTTCTTTGTTTATCATACAATTTCTAAACACTCTAAGTATTTCCAAAGGGACGGGCGCCTTTTGTTGGAATTCAAATTCATTGTTCGCTGATCGTTCAAACCTCAATGCAAAATACTCCCAAATAGAATTGTGCCTTTTGAAGAATTCCAGATTCACGCTTGCTCTAATTGCAATAAGTATTCCAAAAAGGATGGGAGCCCTTCACGGAATTCCAGGTTTATGTGTCCTTCATTGTAGTAATTGATCGAATTATTCCCAAATGGACGGGTCCCTTTTGGGGAATTCAAGATTCATGTTCGTGCAATTACACTAATTGTTCTTATCTTTCCCAAAGGGACGTCCCTTTCTCACTTTGTCTGTAATTGCTCTACTTATTTTGCTTGTTCTAATTATTGTAATTACTCCCAATCAAACGAGTCCCATTTTGGGAAGTTCAGAGTCACTTGCTCGCTAGTTCTAATTACTCACAAAGGGGCGGGCGCCTTTGGGGGAATTCCAGGTTTTTCCTTATTGCTTCAACTATCCCAAACTTGACGGGTGCATTTGGGGGGGGGTTCTGCTTCATGTTGTTGTTATTATATATTCTACCTCTTATAATTATGCTAAATACCTGTGGATAATTCCGGATTCGTTCTGGTTCTAATTATCTTTATCCCTAGGGGATGGGTTTTTTTGGGGGAATGCCAAATTCATGCGTGTTTAATTGTCATACTTATTCCGAAAGGGCGGGTGTCTTTTGGGGAATTCCAGCTCACTTTTCCACGGACGGCTTCCTTCTGAGGAGTTTCCAAATAATGTTGGTTCTAGTTGTTTACATATTCCTAAAGGGGCGGGTGCCTTTGGGGGAATTCAATATTCATTTTTCTGATTATCATACTTATCACTTTTCTAACTATTCAAGTTATTCCCAAGGGGGGAGGCCGTGCTTTTTGGAGATTCCATATTCTAGTTGGTCTAACTATTTGAATTATGCTAATTATTCCTAAAGGGACGGGTGCATGTTGGGAAGTTTAAGACGCATTGGTTGCTAGTGTTTAAGACTCAATTGTCAATAACTTAGACAATATTTGCAAACATAATCAATCCACTAATTTTGTTGGAGGCCCTAAAACAATTCAATATCTTACATGAATGTAGATGTGTTGTTTGAAGTCCCTGACAAATGTAAATAAACAATTTGCAGTATCTACATAACTTAGAACATTTCCAGGGCCCCCCCACCCGACCCAGAATATTAAAACACAAAATGTAAACAGTTTAAACAATTCAACTAACTAAACAGTTTGAATGATTGTGCCAGTCATTAGACCTACTTGTAGAGAATTGACGAACGCATCAGTGACCCAATGGCCGTCACATCTCAAGGTTACTTGCTTTTCACCACCGCCCCTCCACCTCCAAGGGGTGAGAAGGGAACAGATTTGCATGTGCGCTGCCAAGTGTTGCAGCTCGATCACCTGTGCCTGAACACAGGCATGAGTTTCCCCTTTTTCAAACATGCAGGCACTGCCACTCTGGCCATGAAAAATGGGAACGAGAGAGTGCCAGTCAAATTATTGATGATGGTTCAATTGACAAAGGGGGTCTGCCAGTTTAACTAGTTCAATAAACACAAATTATTTATATTACTTAAACTAGTTAATTTCATTGAACTAGTTGAATTATTTGAATTACTTGAACAATTTAACTTGGAAATTACTTGAGTATAACTACAATCTTGCTAATGGAAGCCTAACTAAGATCTATCTATTACTATCCCAAGTACTGGAGCCTAACTAAGATATGTCTGTTCCCATCCCTGCAATTGTGTGAGCGCAACTAAGATTTGTCGATTCCTATCCATTGGCTTGCTTGAGCGATCTGGAGGATGTCCGGGACCTCACATGCTGCGTTGCTGTTTGTGATCGGACCTCTGAAGCTAATGAACTGATATGCTGAAATGCATACAATGATTGAACACCATAGGGTCTGAATTCGCCAGTTATATTATTTAACTGGGAATCCTAGCTAAAATCTACGTATTCCTTACTTGAGCCTAACTAAGATCGAAAGCGTGGCCTGTTAATTGGCATAAGGTAAATTAATGGAGTTATTGAACATATTGAAATTGGAAAATGGGGACCTGAAAATATTGGGAATGTACATAGTTCAATTCGGCCAGCTCCACCGGCCCCTGACCACCATTAATAATATAAATGATCCAAACAATCTAAATGCCGAAATCTGCCAATTTAAGCAAAACTCATATATTTAAAATAGTTTGTGTGTTTTAAAATGTTTAAATTATTTAAATTGAAAAGGGGGGTCTGCCAATTTACATAATTAAAAGAATTTAACTCGGGCAGCTCCAACGGCGCCTGACCACCATTTAAATAACTTAAATAATTCAAATAATTAAAACATTTTGAGTAATTTAAATACTTAAATGATTAAAAAAGAATATAAATTGGAAACGGGGTGCAAATTTAAATAGTTTAAGTAGCTTAAAGTATGGTGAAACACTTATATTATTTAACGAATTCAAATTATTATGCTAAATCATAGGGGCCCACCACACCTTGTGTATGATTTAAATTATGTATAATAATTTTAATTGGAAAAGGGGGGTCTGCCAATTCAAATGACTTAAATCGGGCAGCTCCAACGGCCCCTGGCCACCATTGAAAAAGTTTAAATTAAAGGGCCGGATAACCCCACAAGTCTTTGCTTATTGAAGTATGCGACACTTGCATCTGCCGAGCAGCGAATAATCCCAAATCCGAGACATGCAAAGACCCTCACACGCAAAACCTTCACGCGCTCAGCTATGTCGAAAACTCTCAGCACTTTGTTTTTTCGCTCTGGCAGATCGAGGGGTCGCATTGGCATCGCCGCCTAAAGTGCGGCGCCTGCCACGATTTCGCGCGCCCCGAGCCGCGCGCGCGACAACATCCCATCCCTTTAGACAGCATTGGTGGTAATTATCTTGGAAACTCACCAAGAAGGCGTGTGGGTTGGGAATGAAGAAATTAAAAGGACCAGTTGAAGACCCCGATGAAAAGCTGGCAAGACCGCATGAAGAGGCCGAGAGCCCACCGAAAGAGACAGCGGAAGGCGGTCCGGCTCCGCGGACATCAATGTTGCCAATAGAAAGAAGGGGCAAGCGGTTGGTGTTGATAGAGCTAGCGGCAGCACAAGAGACAGAGATTTGGGAACGGACTGGACAGGGACTGGGACCAGGCCCTGGACGGGTTTACATTTGCCTGAGCAGCCCGACCTCAGGCAAAGGCTTCGACGATCTAGTAGTATGTGCGTGATGGGACGGGAGGAGTTTCGGTGCGGGCAACAAGAACTGTGCTGGGAACGGAGAGGATGGAGTACTACCGCGAAATGGAGAGAAAGTCAGAGGAGCGGTGGGAGTTCCTTCAAGCGCGCTCGAGGTGAAATTTTGGGGGTCTTCAAGGGAGACTGTGGAGGGCCGATGAGCATTTGCGAGGAGGTCTTATCAAGGTGGTGGAGATGAGGTGGGCAAAGCTTGGGTGCGGGCAGGTCTGCAGGAGCGGAGAAGCCATTGAGGGGGTGGAGAACTAACCAGCCGCGGGGGAGCTCATGCGTGGCAAGTGGGAAGCTGGAGTTGGGCGAGGACAAGGAGATCAAGAACAAGGGCATGGAGATGCCGAAGTGAGGACTGCACGGCCCGGAGGCCAGTAGGCGTTGCGGGTGCAAGAGGCGCCTAGGGGTGTGAATCCCCGGCTTGCATGGCTCAAGAAAAGGAACCGTGCGGTTTAGCGCTTGTTGGATCAAACAGTTGTCGGCCAATAGAAAAGGGAATGCCCTAACCGTTAACCCAAATCATGTCAGCAACCCTGGTAAAATGCATTTGGAGAGTCTGAATCCGGGCAAGGAAAGGACGTCGCCCATCCAAACAAGCGCGCCAGCCCCCCTTGGCAATTCCAAACACTTCTAATTTTTGAGTGACTTACCAATGACGCTGGCAACTGCAGGCTTCATTTTTCCACTTGGCTTTTGCCCACCTTGTCTCTCCCACGGAAGCCTTCGCGTTGCCGTCTTCCAGCCGCGGTGCCCATCACCTTCGCGGTCGTCGCTGTCTCTTGAGGAGCGGCGGGGGCAACTTCGCGGCTGGGCCTGGCCTGTGGACGCTCCGGGCGGGCCGGCTCCAGCAGTTCCAGCCCGGCAAGGCTGAGGCCAGAGAGCTTCGAGAGAGAAAAGGAGAAAAGGGACACGGAGAAGATGCGAAAGACAAGACGGAAAAGAAGAAACGCAGACGAGGCGAGCAAATCACAAAGGACAAGAAACAGGAGAGCTAAGAGACGAAGAGAACAAATAAGAAGTAGCCTTAAGAGGAGTATGGGAAGCAAGTACGGCTAACAGCCAGATGCCTGAAGATACTCAGAGAGAAGTACTGCCTTTGTCGTGCATAGAGCCAGGGGCAGATTGGGCTTGAATTTCTTGGACCGTATTGCTTTGCCGAGCTCAGCGCGTAGGCGTGTAGCTCTGCTAGGTCAAGCCCCAAGTTCTCTCCGGAGATATCACGGAGCTCGAGGACCCGTGGGGTGTGCAAACTTCACAAGCTCATGCAAGGTGTGTGCTCACGTGCGCGTGCTGGCGAAAGCGAGGCGCAGGGTGGCGTCGTGCTGGTCTACCAGAGCAATTGGCCGCAGCCACGGCTGCACTACCGGACTTCTGAGGAGACGAGACATGCAGAGACTTGCAGAGACTTGCACATGCAGATTGCCAACGCTCCAGGAGGCTCCTTGGACTGACCCACCTGGTGAGGCGATTCAATTTTCCGATGTTTTCAAGTTGAGGTGACGTGATGCATATGGCGTGTGCGTGCGGGGGCAAAGAAGAATCCTGTACAGAAGACAGTTTATAAGAAGCAGCTTCGATGATCACTGTGCCAGGATTTCCTGCCCTGCAATATCACGGGGTTCCCCCAAACTGGGGGATGGTGGGCGATGAAAGTGGAGGGCCAGGCCTGAACAGAACGCAGAACACATCAGAACACGGCAACACCTTGCCCAGAGCTTGGAGTTCGTGCCCAACGATGGGGGGTCGCAGTGGCACAAGGCGAGGTGTGAAGACTGTGGCGTGGTGGCGCTGCGCGCGCGCTGTGCGCTATAGGGATGGTCTATGGGAGGCATTCCCTCATTCCCTGAGAGCCAGCAGTGCGCCAGGCTGCTGGAGGCAACTGGCGCATTAAAGGCGCACGGAATGGGAGTCAGTGAGAAAGCGATTCGCGTGAGCCTCGATAGGCCCGGGGATCTGGAAGCTGAGCGGTCCTGCGCTCAATGCAAGCTGAGCCTCCGGGCGGCGTTGAGTTGATGAGTTGAGGAGACCGCTTGGAGAAAGTCGGGTCTGTCGAGCCTGAAGCCGCGCTCGTGGTGGAAGCTGAGCCTGCGAAGGCTGCGAAGGCTGCGAAGGCGGGGGGTTTTGACAAACAAAAAGGCTGCGCAGAAAGCAAACTAGAAATGAGCAGGCTTCTCCGAGAGCCTTCCCAGTGACTCATCCCAGCCAGCAAGCAAAATGAGTTGCAAACGCACTGTTCACAAGGACCTGGGGTTATTTGACTCAAGGATTAACAGAGGATCTTGACGGGCCGGCCTCAGCGGTTTCTTCAGTTTAAGTTGCAGCCGTTTGCTGCCCGCGAAGGCCCGTGGGGCAAAAGGCCAGGAAGCAGCGCCAAAGGATTGCGTAGGGTACTCGCGCCAATCAGTTTTGGGGTATGCTTCCTCGCGGATTGCGCGGGTGAGCGTGCTAATTAGGCTTGAGGGTTGCTGCCTCAGGGCGTGCACCCTTATTAATTCATTGACCCGTTGAGGCCAAGGACGCCGTCCTCGAAGAGTCTTTACTGCTCGCAGTCGTGGGAAGGTGTAAGAGCACAGGTTGGGTTTGACTCGCTTGGGTGCTACATTGGCAGCGGTCGCCCCCGCTCTTAGCTCTGCCGTGGCCCGCCGTCCTCTGCTTTACTAGTTCCTCTGGTGGTTTTTTGGCTTTGTGGCTTTTGGCGGCTTTCTGGCTTTGGCTTTTCGCATCCTCTGCCCAGTCTGCTTTCCCAACAGAGATTTAATCGCATTCTTATTCAGGTCACTTCTGCAAACACCATGGGGGCTGCCCACGACGGGATTTACGAGGGCCACGAGGCCACGACGGAAGCCACGACGGGACGACGGCCACGGCCACAAAGTGGACGACTCGGGTTCTGCAACGCCAATCAGACCCCACTTTGAACCGCGCCAAACTTTGGGACTCCAGCTTTCAGGATATATCAGGATCTTGGTTTTGAGCAGTTCTCCTCTGGCTCCGCGCCCTCGACATATTTGCCTGGATGTTGTTGCAAGGAACCAACCAACTTGTGTGCGACGAACTTCACCGGTTTTGCTCAGACACACACACACGGCCCTTGGAGAACCCTTGCGTGGGATGGGCTTTCCTCCTTGGCGCTTGGTCTTGAGCTTCTTCGACGCTGCGGGCGCTGGCGCATTCTCGCGAAAGAACCGCCTTGCTGGGGCTGAGACCATTCGCCCGCAAACCGAGTGCCTTCAGCCTGCTTGGCGACACAGCCAAGACCGCGGCACTGACGTCACATGCTCCTTGCTTGTTTGTTCCCCTGCCTGCACCTTAGCAGCCGCTCGCGCGGCTGCAGCTCCGGGCTACACAAAGCACGCCCCAAACACCAGCCCCCTCCAAATTGAACCTGCGAAGTCACACGGCCACTGAGCCTTTCCACACCAAGCGTTTTCCACGCCTTTGGCTCGGCGTGCTGCGCAAGCGGGCTTACGCTCTTGGGCGCAAAAGCCTTCTCGGGAGGGTTAAAATTACACTGACAGCCAAGCGCAAACGAACACGCCAGCCGAAGCAAACAAACCGGCCTTCTAAAGTTTGGGGATGGATTGACGGGCTAATGGTGGCATCGTCGTGGCTTCTGTGGCTTGCCTCTTCAAAGCGTCAAGGCTCAAGAAGCCTGGGAGCGAAGTCCTCGACAAAACCGGGTTGCCTCAAAATGGGGCTGAACCAGCGCCCTCCAAGGAAACACAGCCAAGTCGGACTCCCTCCCACCCTCCCACACCGCATTCGACAAGACAACCAGGCTGCCATTTGTGCTAAGAAAGTGGGAGACCCCACTGCTCAGTGATTCAGACGCTCAGGGTGTCAACCTAGCATGGCTTGCTGAGCAGTATAGAAGAAGGCACTCTAAGCTCACTCGCGCTTCCAGTCAACAATGCTCTTAGTAGCAAAGATGACATTCTGAGTCGTCAGATGCGCGGACAGACTGTGCAGGATGCTAGAGTGGCGCGGCGTTGCGCAGTGACATGTTAGGCAGACCTGATATATTGCAAGAAGCTGGCGGTGGGATAAACGACCTGTTACTGCCGACGCATTGGGACCATTCCCCGATATTCCCCGGCAGGCTGAAGTGGCGCCAGACGCCCAGCAGCTGACCTGGTATGTGCAAGAAACATTCGCTGAAACAGGGGGGCTCCAGTGGAGCTGGAGACCATAGAGAAGCACAGGCGTGTTCAGAAGCAATCTGAAGCAATCTAGAGCGGGCAGACTCACGCGCAGGCTGGCAGATTTGATGCAAGGCGACCACGCCTGGAGACTCAGACAGGCTGCCGTGGCTGTTCTTATCCTTCTGCTACGAGCCAAGTGACCCGCGCGCTTGAGCCAGACTTGTGCCCCGAACCGTCCCCCGAACAGGGGGCAACATGAATTCACAGATTCTATGTTTTGGCCCGCTTCGCTGAGATCGTGATTTTGTACCGCAGTGCGTGGGAGACCCCGCACCTGCACTGCCGGGATCTCTCCTCGGACGTGCCTGGCCCCTGGACGCAGCTTCCAGGCGCGGTCCAGCAAATCAAGAGAAGTGAGCTCCAAATCCTTATGCGCAAATGCGCAAAACAAGCGCGCGTTAGCAGGCTTGTCCTTCACCGCGGCCGGTGACATCACACAGGCCTTGGGCTGTGGAAGTCGCCGTGCAGCTCGTTGTTGCACAGGAGCTGGAAGGTTCTGGTTCGCTGTTTGTTGCGAAGTTTACGACCAGCGTGCGTGCCCCGGTCCGAGACACTGGCAACGGCAAACCAGTAAGCAAGCCTCAAGGTGCATGGCGTTGAGTTCGTCTTGAACGACGGCGGCCCGCACTACCGCTGGGACAAGGCGCAGGTTGCTGCAGCTGCTGTTTTTGCGTTCCGATTGCTCAGGCTTCTGGCGGTGGCAACTTCCGCGCGTCTGGCTTCGGCGTCCAAAGCTCACAGTCCAAATGTTTTCCGATTCAGAACGCACCGGCAGACATTCGAGGTATGGTTGGCCAGCGGCGGGCGTTTGGATAAGCGGGATGAGCGCGTGCGCGGGCTTCAGCATTTGGAGCAACTGCCAGGCTTCAAGCGCCGCCGGTTGCGAAAATGCCAACAGTGGCAGAGAACTTGGCTTGCAGAGTTTCGAGAGCCTCACGAGTTGCAGATCTCAAATAGGTGTGTGTGTGTGTGTGCGCGTGTGACACGGAAGGCCTCTGTATCTCGCACATCTGTGGCTCTTTCCTGGACGTCAGCGTCCTCCTCCGTGAAAGGCGGAAGTGTCGGGATATGCATGTCAACATATGTCAACTGTGACAAGCACCATGTGCAGGTTACCGCGTATTCCGGAATGGAAAGCAGGCGCGCTTCGACGAATTCGACCCTGTGCCGCTCCAGATTTGGCGTGCCCTGAGGTTGCCTCGCTTGCAGGTGGCGTAGGGGCGCCCAGCTCGCACGCCACATTGGTGACATGTCGACGCGCGACGCCGACACGAGGTGTTGCAATACATGGATGCTGGGCTATTTGCTGCTCACGAGTACTCCTTCGCCGTGGCTGCTGTCAGCACACAAGGCGCATCAGTGTTCTCATTTTTCAGGATGTAACTCGCAAGTTGCCAGAGCAGCGAAGCGGCCAGGTGTGCTTGGACCCATCAGCGAAGCGGCTACGGCAACCACAGACCCGCCAGGCTGGACATCCATCTGACGGACCCCCGACTCCTGCTTGTCAGGCAAGCCTGGAAAGCCCAGCAGCCTGCGGGTGGCACTGTCCAGCGGCAAGGCGTGAGACCGCACAACATTAACAAAGATGAGATAACCCGGATAAATCTGGATAAAACGATCTCTAAATCCTGAACAAATATGTCCAGTATCTTGAAGTCTTGCGTAGGGTGTGACGCTGGAGTGGGCGCCGCCCGAGGAGAATGGGTCGCATGCAACGCACGGGCTGGTGTTGTTCGTTGTCATCTCACGGATCTTGACAAACTCGGGTCTTTCTGATGTCCCAAATTGTCTTAGGACCACGGAGGTGCGCCCGTGACAGCCTATGTGGTGCAGCGAGGGGACAAGACAGTGGCCACACTCGCGGCTGAGAAGCTTGACAAGCTTTCCTGGACCTGGGGGGGGGGGGGAAGCAACCAGGGGTCCAGGGCCGAGCGACCAGAAGTTCTAGCGGAGGACGTAAGCATGATCGACATGTATTTTCACCAGGTCACTTCCAAAGTGTGGTCACCGGTTTTCTCTGCGGAGCTGCGAAAGATGTGAACCTGCTTGCCACACAGGACCGACACAGAGGTCACTCGGGGTGACTCCTACAGTGCCTTGGCCACACTGGCGCAGAACTGCAGAACTGTGCAGCATGTGAGACACGTTGTGTTCGAGGCACTTTCTCGCTTTCATGGCCCTTTCAGCTTTTCCATGCCGGCTTGCCGGCTGAGGCTACTCGGTCATTGCATGCCACCTGCCGCCAACGAGCGAGAAGGACGCGAATTGGGAGACTCAACGGGAGACTCAACGGGAGACTCGGGACTCGGGGCCCAAGCTCCAGGATCTCCGTGAGAAGGTCTTGAAGGCATGCGAGGCAAGAGTCGAGAGTCGCGAGAGTCGCGAGAGTCGCGAGAGTCGCTCTCGAGAAGTTGACTCGACTTGGAACGGATATCAAACGGGAGGCAGATGACATCCTGCTGAGCCTTCCTGAGGCAGCTTGCTTGTGCAGCACGTGCTTGATGCATGGCATGGCAGGAAATGAACATGAGTGAAGCCTCGGGGCCGGTGGAAACTGTGGCCGTGGACGAGTTGGAGGCTCTTTCAGAGTCACATCTTTTGGGTTTTCGGAGGTTTTGGCTTGAAATTAGACGAGCTTGTCGACGATGACGATTGGGTTCAGGTGGGGTCGTGCAAAGTCAGCCTGCGGGACCAGCTGTCAGAGGCCCGACGTTTGTTCTTTAAACTCAACTGTTTGACTATGTTTGACTTGTTTTGGTCATGTCTCTCGCAGCTTTTGTTTTCCCAGTTGTCATCCAGTTCACAGCGTGACGTTTGGATTCAGGTTTCGTGTTTTGCTGATTGTATGGATGTGGGTCAACAGCATGTTTACTTTCTCTCACTTTTTGTCCTTCTGAGCCTTCTGAGTCCTTCTGAGTCCTTCTCAGTCCTTCTCAGTCCATCTCTGTCCTTCTCATCTCTTCTCAGTCCTTCTCAGTTTGTTCCCATGTTTTCTCCTTTCAACTTTTTGACTTGACTTCGATTTATTGTCCATTTTCTGTTCCGCCCGTGTCCATCCATTTTCCATCAATTTGGACAACACATTTGCATCAATGTCTGCCAATGCGGATGGTGCCGGGGATGTCGCGGGAGCCAACAATTACTTGACGCGCGAAAAGTCGACGCATGGTCGGAGTGTCGGCACGCCCTCGGCACGCCCCTACCTGAAGGGCGTTTAGCCTTCGCCGGCTGGGAACCCAGCCTCCCGTGCCCACGCTGTTCCATTTGTTGCATCCATTTTGCATCCTTCCATGTCTGCGGATGGTGATGCAAAAAGGATGCTGTCCATGGGCAACCCCACAAAGTGCTCGTTTTGTGACCCTGCAGCGAGATGCCACAAAATGTGTAAACACTTGCTCAAACAAATGTGTAAATGCTTCGCCTTCATATTACGGCAGGTGCAGCACAAAAGTTGTGCGCGTGGTTGGAGCATAGTCGGCGGCATGGCGCGGACAGCCTTGTGCCTGAAGGTAGCCCCCGCTCCATGTCCCTTCATCTGATTCCTTCCCCTGAACTTCCCTGCAGTTGGATGATGCCTTTCACTCAATTCTCTTGAGTTCCAGTGATGCCTTGTTTTTTGAGTTTCCCTTCGTTTCCCCGCATCTGAACCCTTCCCTTCATACCCCTCACCCCCCTGATTTCCCCACAATTTCAATTCCCCACACTTCCTCTTCAGTTTCCCTTCAGCCCTTCATGTTCTTCCATGTCCTTGCATTTCCCTTCATTTTCATTGTTCCCTTCATGTCCATTTCGTTTCCTTTCGTATTTTGTTCTCCATTCCGCATCGCCAACGTCCCGTGCATCATCCGGGATGATGCTGGCAATTTGAGGGGTGTTGTCCAGTACCAGGCGCCGACCAAAAAAAGGCTCGTTCTTTGACTCCGCGAGGAGATCCCAGAATCGCTTTAAACAAATCACAAAGCCCTCGCCCCATAGCAGGCGCGGCGCAGCACAAAACGTATGTGCATGTTCTTATCATGTTGTGCTCACTGTCGGCTGCGTGGCGCGGACAGCCTTATACCCGAACACCTGAAGGTAGCCAGCCTTCGGCCCTCCGGCGGCCCGATTTCCGTTGCTGGCGCACAGCTAAGATGTTCGAAGCTCCGTACTGCGCGCGACGCAGTTTACACGCAAGCGGTTCTGCGCCGCAAGCGAGGCTTTTAACTGCGTGGCGCGACACGCTTTTGCGCGAGGGTGGGGTTTGCCTGCATCACGGGCAAGCTTTGGACCACGCGGGCTTCAGCCAAGTTTGCTGCGGTTGTGCTGGCGCGGGCGGCGAACCAACAGCAAGGAGTATGGGTTAGGCTCGTCACAATCATGTGTTTTTTGTTCACAGCGTTCAGCAAGGTTTTGCAGCTGCACCATGCATCACCTGCATCTCCCGCATCACCCGAACAAGCCTGCGCACCCACAAAATTAACTCCTGGACCCAAACTGGCAGAAGCAGACACTCATTCTAGACCAGCTTCACAGATCGGGTGGCAGTCTAGAGCCTTGATCTAGAGCCTTGCTCCTCCGGACTAAAAAAGGGGTCCAAAGAGCTCCCAAGTGACCATCCCGAAATCCAGGTTACAGAAGGGCAGCGTGTGCTAGTGATAACAAAACAATCGTGCTTACGGTGTGACCGCGACTTTCCGCAGGGCATTGCATTCGGAATTCGTTCTGTTCTCATCATCACTATGATGCTGATGATGGTTATCATCATGATGATGGTTGATCGTGGTTGATCATAGTTACCTCATGATCATCATCAACATCAATCATCATCATCATCTCTTTCTTTTCTGTTTATGCATTTAAACACTCTCGGGCCCGCTTCACACGCAGAGGATGCTGTGATGATTGATGATGTCGATCACCGTCAAGCATCGTTATGATGATAGGTAATCATCATGATCATGATCAGCATCGTCAAGCATCGTTTTGATGCTAGTCGACCTTGAGGATGCAGGGGATGCAATGATGATAGTCATCGTTTATGGTCGATGATAACTATCATCATGGCACCCCGGCGCTTTCAACAGCGGCTAGGCTGCAACGGTGATTATGATGATTGATGATGATAACTATCATCGCAGCATCCCTTGCATCCCCAACGCCGCCTGGGGCCACAACAAGGCGTGATGAGGATGACGGTCGAGGATAAGTGTCATCATAGCATCCCGAGGCTTGATGACGATGATGATGATCATCATGATCATCATGATATCTATCATCGTAGAATCCCCTGCGTCCGCAACTGCCCCTACATCTCAAGCAATGCTTAACCTCACTTTTGAAATGCAAAAAGAGGAGAAAGAGATGTTGACACAGCATCCCTTGCATCCCGGCACCTAGCGTCACAACATTTCCTGATGGTGATGATGATCGATGATAACCATCATCATAGCATCCGCTTGATGATGATACTCAACTCTGATGACAGTTGTCACCATCATGATGATGATTGTCGTCATCACCTAGCATCGTTGTAAGGCGCCGTCGAGGATGCCGGGGAAGCCATGCCAATAATTATCATCGAGGTGGTTGTGACTCATCGCCATCATCATCGTCATCATCATCGTCATCATCATCGTCATCATCATCATCAGGTTATTGATGAATATTTTCGTCACGCATCGTTGTGACTTACCACCATCATGACGATGATGATGATCGTCATCATCAAGCACCCTTGTGATGTTAGGCGCCGTCGAGGATGCAAATGGTGATGGTTATCAGCGATCGTCATTAGCAGGCATTGTTGCGACGGTAGGCGCCGTTGCGGATGCAGGGGGTGCCATGATGATAGCCATCATCATCATCATCATCATCATCATGATCACAACGACTATCATCAGAGTCACAACCTCCCTTACCGTGCGCCTCCCCTTTTGGAGGGGTCGGAGGATTTCCTTCCCGTTTCAGTTCGTTCTCTGTCCTTCACGTTTCGTAGGTGGTGGGCATCACGGTCTTCTACCAGAGCTGCTGGGGCACCGAGTGCTACGCGCACTGCTGCTCCCACCAGGAGACGATATCGGGATGTGAGAACGAGAGAAACGGAGAGAAACGACGAGAAAGGAGAATAGCAAAACCGGAAGGAGAGTGTGAGCGCTGTGAGCGCTGTGAGCGCTGCGACTAGGAGAAGGGCTGGACACCCTTGCCGGGCGTGCCTTTGGAGCCCAGCCCGTGTGACCTGGGCATGTGGCACGTGCCGGGCGTGTGCCGCGCGCGCCGCGCGTCCCGTGCGTGTGCTGCGCCTGCCTGTCTCTCGCCAGGCCACTCCTTCTCCGAAAGTGAGGCCTCGCCGCTTCGCAGATCCGAAAGTTGTCAGAGTCTAGTTGGGATACGGCCGGACACGGTATCATAGTGTGAACTTGTGTCCCTCTCGTGAGGACTGGATGGTGCTTTGCCTTCCCTACGCACGCAGCCTGGAGTTTGTCATGAATGATGGCGGTCGGGGCTGGGACAAGGCGCGCTCAGCACTTGGATCGATGTTGCTCTCCGCTCTCCCGTCAGGCGCCGGGTGGAAAGAACTACAAGGCACGATGTGACTGCAAGTTTCAAGTGCTTCACCCGGATTCGATTCAAATACGGGCAGAGACTAGCTGACAAAGGTGATGACGCCTGGTCTGCCTGCTCCGTTTTGGCACTTGGAACGAGTGAGGAGAATCTTGCCAGGTGTTTTTCTCCTGACTCATGGACATTTGGACCCCGTTGCCTATCCTCCACAAGAGCCGACTGGCCTTGCTGCTGAGGCCGGTGTGGGCCAAGGAGTCTTTGCCAGAAGTTAGACAAAGGGGCCCTTCGCTGCTAGCGAAACGAGTCCGATTGCCCCGAGATCCCCGAGATCCGACTGTGAGGGTGCTCGTTTCTAGGGCTGCGGAAGCACCTTGATCAAATGCTCAAAAGCAGACGCCAAAGCAGATGGCTGCTTTGGGCTATTGTTTGGGAACACCGATGACTGCCAAGAGAAGGAACAATCACCTGGTGCAGAACAAGCAAGGCTTGTTTATCATGACTTGAACCCCATGAATCCAAGAATATCATTTTGACAAGATCGGGAAGTTCATACCAAATCGGAATGGAATTGCGCAACATTGCAAATTGCTTCCCGTTTCCAAAGTACAGCGGCATGAGAGGCCATAGATGGCTCACGGGTGCGCTTATCCTGGGAGTGCTGCACTCAGAGTGGCTCAAATTGGAGCACCTCTCATTCCGAAAGGCAGAAGCGTATTGCCGAAAGTTTCCCACTTGTCACAACAGACAATCGTATCGCAATTCAGACTTGTGCCTTTCAACTTGGCGCGTGCTGGGACTGGCAGCCGGAGATGACCTTTGTTTTCCTTTCAGTGTGTGTGTGTGTATGTTTGTGTGTTTGTGGAGGGTTTGGAGCAAGGCTGCGCCGGAAACGCCAGAAATTCGAGAGGATGCCAGGGATGCTTGATGCATGCATGATAGGGATGCTTGCGGATGCCAGCTCTAGAGTTGTTGAGGATGTCGGGGCTGCCAGGGACGCTAGGGATGTTTGGGGTGCTGCGGATGCTGGAGATGCTGAAGGTTGCTGCAGCAGATGCTGGACGTGCCAGAGACGTTGAGGGGATATCCTTTGAGTGGCGAGCAGATTCTCAGCTATGAATGGTTTGACCAGTTTGCTCCTCCGATTCAACTTCCTGACCTTCCTTTGGACAGCTTGCCGACAATCCGGCACCAGCTTGCTTTCTGAAGCAAAGATACCAATACACGCAATGAAGGTGCCGACGGGAGACTGTCAGGCTAGTCCTCCTGTGCAGGGAGCTGTGAACACGTGTCCTTGATCGTCCAGGTTTTTCAGCATTCCGAATCGTAACTATGCTTGATTGCTGATTGCTATCTTCAAAACTACTATGTTCCTTGTGCTCCTTGTGCACCTTGACATATATTGCATACCTTGACCTTTTTTGAAGTGACGCTCTTGTTGAACTTGTTGAGGCCTCCGAAGCTTGGGGATGGCGAAGCTCCCGTGAAGGGCTACCGAATCTTCCGCAACGGGCGCATCATCGGCTCGCAGTCTCTGTGCGATGACTGAGTGACCTAGAGAGAGAGAGAGAGAGAAACCGAATCACGAGGGACATCGAAAACTATGCAGTTCATGTCATTGATTTCTAGGTCTTGTGAATATGAAGACATCAACTTGTTTGCCTTCACCGACTATGAGTATTCCGTGTCCGTGCTTTGGGCCGCATGAAGTGGCGCGCATTGATTTGACTTCGAATTCGATTCAATTCGAAGGCCATCAACCGCCAAGACGTCGCCGGACCACTCAGCGAAGCGGTGAACGTGAAGACTCAGCTGCCGGGACTGCCCTCTGCGCCACGGCCGGGAGCCACGGCACCTTCGACCGATACCCAACCTGCTCCGCGCGCTTCGCACTTCACTTTGCCTCAGGAACGTGCGGGCCAACACGCGCAAGCAGGAGGGTTGCAGTGACGCGAGCTACGCTCTGTGCTGTGAGCGGCTAGCATGCAGGATGGAAAGCTGATCGTTCAGCTGGAGTGGGAGCCGCCAGCTGACTGCGGGGGCGCCCCCGTGGCATCCTACGAGGTAGGTGACATGCGACGGATGCGACGGATGCGCAGATCAATTCTTGTGCGCAGATCATCCGTGATGGCACCGTGATCGACATCTTCGACGTGGAAAGCTAAGCGAGAGCTTCGCGTGTCGCACGGAGAGATTGTTTTCAGGTGCCCAATGCCCGCATCCGCTCAGAAGCAGAGGCCATCGGATGTCTTTGCCTCTGAATTCAGCCTAGGCTTGTTGCATCTTTTTGCCAGGCTGCTAAGCCTATGGCCCCTGAGGCACGGACGTCGAGTTGAAAGCAATGGAATGTGTCAATGTGCTAGGCAGCTGCGGCCAGGCGTTGGATTCGTAGGGCGCTTACACGGGCTGTTACGGCATTTTACGGCATACGGCGCTTGCGTGCCATTTATGCCACTTGTGGCACTTACGGCGTTAGGCTCCTCATGCTCTTACTCAAGTTTGAGCTGGTTCAAGGCCCAGGGCGACGCGGCGCCGCCTGTCTCTCTTGAGCGAGAGAGAGACACGGAGAGACAGGACGCGATGCTCTGGGTCGACAACAGCATCGAGCTGGGAGAATGCTACAGTTATCAGGCGAAGGGATGCGAAGGGCTTGAGGATGCTAGAGCAAAAACCACATAAGCCGAGCAATTAGAAGGCAAAAGAAAGCCAGTACACGCAAGGACGAAACATTTTGAGCCGTGAGGTCCGAGCAGTGCAGCTTGGCGCGGGGCTCACTCGTTCCGTTCGCTCCGTTCGCTCCGTTCGCTCCGTTCGCTCCGTTCGCTCCGTTCGCTCCGTTCGCTCCGTTCGCTCGGCCGAAACGGAAGGTTCGAGAACGTCAAGCCGCATCCGTAGTCCGAAAAAGTCTGGAATTCAAATGCTGCATAGCCAACACATTATGTTTGAAGTTTGAACTCGCTGGTTTGTGGGGAGCCCTCCCAGATGTCAAAACGGCGTTTTGCACCCTGAGCTCACAGCAGTTTCGGCAAAGCGATCTTTTGATGCGTTGTTTACGCGGCGTCTTCAAAGCAAAGAAGAACCAGCTGGGTTTTTTCCTGGCCGAATGCTAGGGAGTGTGCGACGTTGCAGCTCGACATTCCCCTCACTCGGCTTCCTCTGTGAACTGCGGCTAAACGACTCCATGGATCAGTTCGTGATGTGGACCTTACACCGTTTCGGGCTCCCCGGAGATCAAGTGGCGCGAGCTAGAGTTGCTAAGGACCTGTAAGCCCTTGCAAAAAACCAAGGCAGCTGAGTAAGGTGACTCACGTTGTTTACGTTATGTTTACGTTATGTTTACGTTCTTTTTTGCCTCTGTCTCTCTTTGAGGTATGCCCTTATTCTGAGGACCGGAACGGGCTGGGCAGCTCAAAAAGGGCGGCGTGGTGCAGCCCGACCCTTGATTTCGCGATCGTTATCTTTGTTCTTCTCAAGTCTTCCTTTCCGATTTCTCGCTTTCTTCTATGAGTCTCTTCTTTCTGTGTCAGGCGATGCGGGAGCCAATTCCTCGACAACGTCCTGCCAGACGTCGTGGGGCCAGCCAGCGAGCCGGCACAGGCTTCGACGGCCCAGACAGATGCACTCGATCCGAATTTGCGCGACTCGAATCGACTTTCGAGGTGCGCGCCGTGGCATTCCTGGACCCCCCCAAGATTGGGGACAAGCGGCTGCTTGGACTGAATCGTGACTGCGAAGCCACGGCTTGGCAGAATCGATTCTGAGGAGCTTGATCGTTTTCCAGTCCTTCGACTGGGGCAGCTGCAAGGCATCTGCGGCATGCGTGTTTGTTTGTTTTCTTTCTTTCTTTCTTTCTTCTTCATGTCTTGCGTCTTTGCGTCTTTGGCTAACTGAAGGCTCCCAGCTGGTACAACGTGTTGCTCGGGCTGCTGCCGGAGCTGCGCAGCGCAGGTTCCGGCGAACCGGAAACTCGAAATCGATGCGAAAGCGCATCGAATTCTTTGTATTGCTTGATGTTTGTTGCTTTTCGGTTTGCTCTTCAGCATCGTTCGGCTTCCGGTTTCTGCCAGGCATCAACATGGTGTGGCTCGCAGCTCAGTTTCCCTGCATAGCTGGAAGAAAAAGCAAGCCACACTCAGGCTTCCACCACCCTCAGATTCAGTGGATGAGCATGGCTACCTTCCCAGGCAGTGGCGCAGCGAACTGAGTTGCTGCACCTTTCTGAATTGCTAGGAAGTGGTACGTGCCCTCCTCGGAGTGTACTTGAGTGTGCCATAGTGAAATGTCGCAAGACTGACAAGACCCGAGTAACGAGCCGCAGGTGTTGGACAACAACTATGGCTCGGCAGAGGCTGTGAAGAAGCTGCCAGAGCCTGGGCATGGGCGGGGCATGGCGGGGCTGAGAGGAGCTACAGCACCTGATTCAGAGCATGCACGAGCAGGAGCACTGGAGTGAAGCATGAGGATTCAGAACATTCCAGCCTGGTCCTGTGCAGGAGATCATTCCAATGCTGGATGTGGTGGTAAACCACCGCTGTGCATCCCTGCAGGCACGTGTTTATGAGTGTCCGCTTTCGCGTGCGCTAGATGCAAGGATTCGGCCGGGCGATGGCTGAAGTTCGAGGACACACTTTGCTATTTCGGCTAGTTGGTTAGTCAGTTTCATATGGGTACTGTTCTTGCCAGGAGCCAGATTGGGAAGGTTGGGCAGTGTGCCACGACAGCCGGCAGCCCAACTTGCCTGGCCACAAGTGCTACTCGTTTTCTGCCAGAAAAGCGGAGGTTGGACCTACCAAGAGGCAGCCCCCAGTTCAGATATAATCCACTCACCTCTGCCAATTTTACCGCCTAAACCCCCAAAACCTCAAATTCCCAGTGTGAAGTTTCCACCAAACACATGGTGAATTCACTGCAGGGCCATCCCAAACTATACAGAACAAGCCTTAGCGCTACGCTATGAAAAGATCCTGAAGGCGCTCTTCAACTTCGTGAGTGAAGGGTTGGAGGACCAAGGAGTTGTTGTGGTAGCGGAGCCCTACGGCTGGGGCATCATGCCCACGGCAGATGGAGGTGGATCCTGTACCGCCTCAACATGGAGAGCCTGCCGGAGCACAGCGACGATCCTCAAGCGTGGGACGCGGTTGAGGACATCACCACAACCCAGCTGCAGGCAGAAGACGCCTATGAACAGGTGTTAAACGGCTGGGCAGCGTCTTCAAGCACGACACGCTGACCGAGCAACCAGATGACTTCGGGCAGTTCTTTGCTAAGCTTGAGTCGGCGGAGAAGGCCGTGAACTTCCTGCTCGGCTCTTGGATGGATGGTGGAAAGATCTCGATTCGGGAGGCCCGCTTGGCGGACCTTCAGTAGACCAACAGCAGGATGACGAGCGCTACTGGATGGACGACGGTGGCGAGGACGGCGACGGCTCCTACGGAGACGACGCGCGGAGGAGGCGCGCGACGCTGGAGACGGCCAGACAGACGAGTGCTATGACGTCTCGAAGCACGATGAACGAGCCCAAGTCCAAGAAGAACATGATGAGGACATTGATTGAGGGCCCACGGGATACAGAGGACCTGCCTGTGCCTCCGCCGCAAGGACCAATCTCATGAGTGAACCTCTTGATGCGCTTGCCCGTCAAACAGTGGCTCTTCCCGACATAGCCCTCATGTTCAATACTCTCCTCACTTGCCCTTGACGGAATTGCCTGGGATTACGGTTCTTGCTGCCCGCCATCTCCACGAGACAGGCAATGCTGGGTGAGACAGATGAGAGCCACATCTTCGAGCACGCGGTTGGTGGCCTTTTGGTCTTCTTCATGATTGTCATCTTCATGGCCAGCTTTTAGATTGGGAAGGCCAAGGCCAGCTTGTGAAGGAGGACTCGGCCTAATGGGAGGAGCAGTGACCGCTTGAGCTGCACCGAATTTGATCCTTGAGGCATTTTGTGATGCCAAGGGGGGCGCGGGGCGCGCGGCGCAACCGCAATTTTGCGGTCTCTTCCCGCTGTAGCGGAACATTTTCCCCGCGACGCGAAGAAGGTTGGAGTTTCGAAGTACTTGCATTCCAGTTTGTTCTTTATGTACATCTTCGTCTTCAACTAGGTACAACACATCTAATGCTGAGCAGTATAAACTACTTTCAGTGTTCTCAATACCAAGTGTTGTTCATGCCGATTAACATACCATGCATCTTTGACTTCCGGCACTGTCTGCAAAAACTGCTGCTAAAGAAGCGCGCGGTGTAAATGGTCCTGCTTCGTCATGAAAAATGAACCTGCGGTCCATAAATTGTTTTTCTTTCCTATTTTCAGCGCTGGAACATTTCAAATACTTGAATAAGGAAAAGAAATTTCATTTAAACTTTCTTGCCTTGGAAGCGTTATATATTCCATGTTTCCTTTTGTAGAAATCTGATGCTTCGTTATGTTTTAATTCAACGGGAATCTTGCTTAAAACACATCTGCTGGTAAATTAGCAGCTTCACTAGACATATTTCACCTAATGTTATAAGGTTGTTTTTCTTTCAGCGTGTGTGTTCCAAAACCATAAAGCTTGCATCGCTTGTATTGTAAGGTTTATGTGGTTATTTCACTTTTCCAAGTATGAAACTCACAGGGGATCAAAAATATTTGCAGGAACTCAGAAAACAGTTGCAGGAACTCAGACGACATTTGCAGGAACAGGAAGTAAAACGGCATCCAGTGGAATTACAACAGCGCCCTCCTCCTCTTTCTCTTTTCCTTTTCTCTTTTCTTTTCTTTTCCTTTCTAATTTCTTTTTCTCTTTCTCTCTCTCTATCTCTGTCTTTCTCCCTCTTCATTATTTCTCTACCTCTGCCGCGAAGCCTGCGCCTGACCTTGCGAAAGTGCCACGAAATCTGTACCTGACGTAGGGAAAGTGCTGCGCCTGCCGCGAAATCTGCGCCTCACCTTGCGAAAGTGCTGCACCTGCCGCGCGACCCAATCTTCTCGTTGCCACTACAGTGGGGGCCGGGCGCTCAGGCCAGGCCGAGACCGTGCCAGACAGGTGTCGAGACAGAGGGGGTTTCTGCAACGCGCTCATTCTTTCATGATTCATCTTATCTGCGCGCAAACTCTCTGCTCACGCTTTCTTTTCGCATGCGCTATCTAATCTTCTGTAGCTGTTTGCAAGAACTTTCTTTTTGCGCGCTATCTGACCTTCTGAAGCTGTATCTGTCTGCGCAATATATTCATATTGGTAGAGTTATCTATGCTTTCACTGTATGTGTAGACACATTCAAGTCGGCAGACGGTCTGTGTTACATTTGTGTGTGTTCAGTCGCGTTCTCGGGCTGAAGGCCCGGCAGTTCCCGGTGGCAGCGGGGCGCACACCACGGGAGAGCCGGCCGCGCGCGAGCCTTGAGAGAGGCGAAAAACAACGAATACAGAACAGGAACATTAAGTGCAGTAAGTTCTCACAGAAGGCACTGAGAGACTTCAATTGAAACAAGAATTGTGGTGACTTCGAGGTACGCGCCCAGCGTGGACCACTCCAACCCCCGCATCCAGGCAGATGTCAACGAATATATCCGGTACCTGATGGACGAGGCCTCGGTCAGCTCACCACTCTCTTTCTCTTTTTTTCGGGTTCTCTTCCTTTAAAAACAAGACAGAGCCCACGAACCCGAATGCGCATCACTTTGTGCAAACCCAAGAAAATAATTAGAGGGAACATTTTTCGGCACAAGCCAATGGGGCTCGCAATCAAGCCTACTGCGCAAACTATGTTTTTCAGCTTTTCAAACTGCACTTTGCGTGCTCCACTTGTTGCTGCAAAGCTACAATTTTCAATCTGGAGCTGGACACCTGCGCTTCGCGCGCTAGACTTGTACTACAAAGTTGCGATTTTCCTGCCGGAGCTGGTACTTTGCACTAGACTTGCGCTGCACAGCTGTGATTGTCCAGCTATTGCTGAAAACCTGTACTTTGCGCACTAGACTTGTACTACAAAGTTGCGATTTTCGAGCTGGAGCTCAAAACCTGTACTTCGCGTACTCTACTTGCACTCCAAAGTTGCGATCTTCCAGCCAGAGCTGGAAACTTGCACTTCACGTACTATACTTGCACTACAAAGTTGTGACTTTCCAGCTAGTGTTGGAAACCTGCACACTTCGCGCACTAGACTTGTACTTCAAAGTTGCGATTCTCCAGCTAGAGCTGGTACTACAAAGTTGCGATTTTCCAGCTAGAGCTGGAAACCTGTACTTTGCGTACAGAGTCGCAATTTACAGCTGGAGCTGGAAACCTGTACTTCGCGCACTAGACTTGCGCTACAAAGTTGCGATTTTCCAGCTAGAGCTAGAACCCTGTACTTCGCGTGCTACACTTGTACAACAAAGTCGAAATTGGAGCTGGAAACCCGTACTTCGCGTACTAGACTAGACTTGTCAAAGTTACGATTTTCCAGCTAGAGCTGGAAACCTGTAATTCGTGCGCTAGGCTTCTACTACAAGGTTGCGATTTTCCAGCGCGTACTAGACTTCTGAACGACACGTTTGAGCGCACCTTCTGATTGACACTTCTGAGCGACAGTGTTGAACGACACCTGGTCAAATCGACACTTCTGAGCGACACTTTTTCTGATCGACTTTTCTGAGCAACACTTCTGATCGACACTTCTGAGCAACACTTTTGATCCGCACTTCTGATTGACACTTTTGACCGACATTTTGAGCAGCACTGCTGAACCCCACTTCTGATTGACACTGGTGAGCAACACTTCTGATCCACACTGCTCATCGACACTTCTGAACGACACTTCTGAGCAACACTGCTGAATTGACATTTCTGAGCGACACTTCTGAGCAACACTTCTGATCGACGCTTCTGACCGACACTTTTGAGGAACCCTTCTCGTCAACACTTCTGAGCAACACTTCCGACCCACACTTCTCATTGACACTTCTGAGGGACACTTTTGAGCGACACTTCCGACCGACACTTTTTCTGATCGACACTTCTGAGCAACACTTCTGAGCAACACTTCTGATTGACACTTCTGAGCGACACTTTTCAGCGACGCCTGATCAACACTTCCGACCACACTTTCTCTGATCGACACTTCTGAGCAACACTTCTTCTGATCGACTTTTTTGAGCACCACTTCTGATTGACACTTCTGAGCGACACTTTTGAGCGACACCTGATCAACACTTCTGAACCACACTTTTTTCTGATCGGCACTTCTGGGCGACACTTTTTCTGATCGACTTTTCTGAGCAACACTTCTGATCGACACTTCTGAGCAAAACTTTTCATGCGCACTTCTGATTGACACTTTTGACCAACAGTTTGAGCAACACTGCTGAACCCCACTTCTGATTGACACTGATGAGCAACACTGCTGATCCACACTTCTCATCGACAGTTCTGAGCAACACTTCTGACCAACACTTCTGATCCACACTGCTCATCGACACTTCTGAACGACACTTCTGAACAACACTGATGAATTGACACTTCTGAGTGACACTTCTGAGCAACACTTCTGGTCGACACTTCTGAGCGAGCAACACTTCTGACCCACACTTCTGATTGACGCTTCTGAGCGACACCTTTGAGCGACACCTGATCAACACTTCTGAACCACACTTTTTCTGATCAACACTTCTGAGCAACACTTCTGAGCGACACTTTTCCTGATCGACTTTTCTGAGCAACACTTCTGTTCGACACTTCTGATCGACACTTCTGACCAACACTTATTTTGATCCGGAGTTGTGGTTGACACTTCTTATCGACAGTTTGAGCAACACTGCCGAACCGCACTTCTGATTGACACTGATGAGCAACACTTCTCATCGCACTTCTCATCGACAGTTCAGAGCAACACTTCTGAGCAACACGTCTGATGCACACTTCTGATCTGATCAACAGTTCTAGTTCTGAGCAACACTTCTGATCCACACTTCTGACAACATTTCTGAGGGATGCGTCTGAGCAACGCTTCTTTCTGTTCGGCACTTCTGATCGACACTTCTGAGCAACACTTCTGATCGACACTTCCGACCACTCTCGACCGATACTTCTGAGCGACACTTTTCATCGACACTTCTGAACGACGCTTCTAATCGACACTTCTGAACGACACTTCTAATGGACACTTCTGTCTCCAAATGCGCGCCGCGCCACAGCGAGAGCGATTCGACCCACCCAAAGTGCGCAGAAGCTACTTTGCGCTCTCAAAATGTGCACCACACCACAACATGAGCAATTCGACCCACCCAATGTGCGCAGAATGCTCAAAATGCGCACCGCGCCACAGCGAGGGTTCGCTTCGCATGCTCACAACGCGCGCCCCGCCACAGCGAGAGCGACTTGACCCACCCAAAGTGCGCAGAAAGTTCGCTTCGCTTTGGCAAAATGTGCGCCGCGCCACAGCGAGAGCGATCTCGCTGAGTCAAAGTGACGCGCTTGCCACGAAATCTACACCCAGGCGCACTCAAAATGCGCACCGCACCACAACGAGAGCGATTCCAGAGGGTTCGCTTCGCGTTCTCAAAATGTGCACCGCGCCACAGCTAGAGCGATCTCGCTGAGTCAAAGTGACGTGCCTGCCACGAAATCTACACCCAGGCACCAAAGTACTGCGCCTGCCACGAAATCTGCACGAAAAGCCCAACAGCGCTGCGCCGGCCACGAAATTCAACCAAAACGCTGGAAACTGCTGCGCCTGTCACGCAAAGTAAGCTTGCCACAAACTCAAAGTCATCCAAAGTGCTCGACCTGCCAGGAAATCCAACTTTGTCACGTTTACGACACGCATCCAAAACTAGCACGGGACTGTGGCGCCAGAATGATTTCAAGCAATTTTGACACGTTTCAGGCTTGCCAAAACGAGCCGACTGCACGACAGGGCCAACGAAAACGGCGCCGGCGAACACACTATCACGCGCCTGCCAAGCAGGACACCTCAAAGCGACCACCCCTGGATCGCAAATCCCAATGGCACGGCAACGCGAACACGCAGAATTCCAAAACACTGCGCCTGCGCAGCGAAACGACACGTCGAGCTTCGAGAAGCTACGATTCGCGCACAGGGCCAACGAGAACAGCGCTTGCCGATCCATCAAAAACACGCTTCCACGACGAATCCCAATGGCACGTGCACGCTTATCGCCTCACCGCGAACGGTTGCGGACGGTTGCGGACGGTTGCGAACTCTGGAGCAACTCCTCGCGAACACGGCCTCCACCCCCAGACCCCCACTTATAAACGGGAACCCTTCGCCACGCATCCGGGCAAAAAACAAAGATTGTCCTTTTGCATTATTACCGTTGTGATTTTCTGTTGTAAGAAACAAATTTGTCTTTCGAAATGTCAGTTCTTTCGTTTCGAACTTCTCAGATCGGCTTCCGGGCGCTGCGCTTCGACTTCGTGAAGGGCTACGCCCCGCGCTTCCAGTCGGACTACGTGCGAGCGGCCGGCTCGCCCTTCGCGGTGGCCGAGAACTGGAACGGCGACGCCAACGGGACCGGATGGATTCGGGCGAGAGAGTTCTCTCGAGAAAAGAGACAGAAAACGCATGAAAGAGATTCGAAGCTTGAGAGAGAGAGAGAGAGAGAACAGTTTTTTGCTCTTGCGTCGAATGTCTCTCGCCGTAGGCTTCACGACTACGTGCGCCAATGCCAGGGTCTCATGGCCGTCTACGACTTCCCGCACGCCGAACGCAAATGCATTCGCGTCAAATGCGCATTGGTAGTACACCCGGTACAGATACGGGGGCTGGTGTGTGCAGGCTGTACTACACACTGAAGCGTTGCATTCACAGCAACAATTTCGAGGAGACTTGCTTCACGTTTGTTGCATTGGACGATCGGCAAGGGGGCAGGCCGGACGGGCCCATTTGGGAGACACGCGGGAGCTCACAGAATTGGCCGCAAAAACCAGCTTTGTCAGGATTCCCACAGATACTCTCTAGTTGTCCCATGCCCGTGCAGGAGATGAATTGTGGTGGCCGGCTTGCTGGCATTGCGGGCCGGGATCCTGCGCGGTCGTGTGCGCGAGAGAAAATACTTCCTGGGCGGAGCGGGATCACGGAGTCGAGCCGTAGGTACCTTCATTGACAACCACGACACCTACCAGTTGGCAATTGCTGCGGGCCCAAGGCATGCCAGCCGAAATGAAGCGTGGACACTGCGGAAGCTAGCTGTGACTTTTGACAGCTCAGTCAAATTGGACTCAGGTCGGAGGCTGCTTTGGCAACAACGATCAGGCGTAAAAGCTGATCAGACGGATTCGCTCAGCTTGAACGGTCTGAGAGGCTTTGAGAGGCTACGCTTTGATCTTGACGCACCCGGGCGTGCCAACCGTCTTCCACTGGGACTATGCTGGGCACTCAGGCGCAAAGAGAAACGAGCGGCATGGTTTTGCAACGCAAGCTAATTTAGTAGAAAGAGGGACACTACCATTGAGCACGTGCACCGCACCACACGCGCGGAAGAATGCGGAGATCTTCGCGGAAGAGAAATCTTTTGCGGAAGGTCCGAAGCTTTGTGGTTGATATGAAGCTGCTGCTATGAGAAACGCAACGCTTACTAGAAGCAGTTGCCAACAGCAAGGGGGATTTAGCGGAAGGTTTGCAAAAGGGCCCCGTGTTTTTAGGCAAGTGCCGTACAGGAAGCCCATTGAAGCCCAAGCCTACACAGCCCAGGGTCCATGGAAGCTTGAATGTCGTATTGTCCAATCAATCAAGTTGGGACTAAGAACCAACGCTCAAATGAAGACGAAAGAAGGCGAAAGACCGTGAAAGAGCATGAAAGAAGGTGAAGAAAGGTGTGAGAAGATGGAAGAAGATGAAAGGAAGTGAAAGGAAGTGAAAGGAAGTGAAAGGAAGTGAAAGGAAGTGAAAGAGAAAGAAGGTGAAAGAAGGTGAAAGAAGGTAAAAGAAGGTGGGGAAGGTGAAAGAAGGTAAAAGAAGGTGGGGGAAGGAAGAAGGTGAAAGAAGGTAAAAGAAGCTGGGGGAAGGAAGAAGGTGAAAGAAGGTGAAAGAAGGTGGGGGAAGGTGGGGGAAGGTGGAATAAGTTGAAAGAAGGTGAAAGGAGGTGGAAGAAGGTGACAGAATGTGATGGAAGGGGAAGGAACGTGAAAGACCGTGAAAGAACATGAAAGAAGGTGAAAGAGGGTGTGAGAAGGTGGAAGAAGGTGCAAGAAGGCGACAGAAGGTGAAAGAAGGTGGAAGAAGGTGACAGAAGGTGAAAAGAGGGTTTAGGAAAGTGAATAAGGTGAAAGAAGGTGAAAGCGGTGAAAGAAGGTGAAAGAAGGCGAAAGGTAGGTGAAAGGTAGGTGGCGAAGGTACGTGAAAGGAGGCGAAAGGAGGTGAAAGAAGGCGAAAGAAGGTGAACGAGGGTGACAGATGAAGAGCAATCCGCTTTACCCGCTCCGAGAGAAGGCTGCGTCTCAAATGACATTGAGGTCAGAGCTCCGTTTGTCCGCGAGAAGCTTCTTGAGCTTTGCTCCTTGGCTGAGTCTGGCAGATAGAGCTAGATTCGAGCCCATCAGGTGCCATCCGCAGAGATGTCGGAGCCCCGGATGTCCCCAGTCCCCCGATGGCAGGAAGGCCCATGAAAGGCTAAGGGTTGGACTCCCTTTCCGCAGGCGAACATTCACTCCACGTCTCAGCTCAACATCGCTGTTGCCAGCGCAGACCCCAAGCTGTTTCGGGTGCTCGGGAGAGCCTCCCATGCAAGGCCACGGACTTTATGCCGCCATCATCGATAACAAGGTCCGGTGATTTGAGCGGCTCTTGCTCCCGTTTTTAATGGCTTTGGCGCTGAGGTGGCGGTCAAAATAGGCACGAACGAGTGGAGTCCAGGTGGCGGATGGAAGGCCGGAGCAACAGAAGGGCGCAAGGGTGCAATTGAGTCATTTCGGCCATTTCGGCCTTTCAGCTATGGCACCTTCAGTGCAAGTACCGGCAGAATTCCATTCTGGCCATCACGTGTTGTGATGTGACTAGCCTGCTTCATGCAGAAGCTTGCCCAGTTTTCCAGCATTGTGTCCTTGCCATCATGTGGGGCCATGTGCCTTTCTATTGCCTTATGATTGGAGATTCTTCCTTCGCGAGCTGTGTTTGGGTCATGTTTGGCCGTGGGCTTCAGTTGTCACACCAATGGCTTTAAGATGAGGTGCAAGACCGTGGCATGGATCAGACTCCGCGTGCAAATGGGTTTCAAGCCGATATCCGCAAGGTACGCTGCTTTGGCGCAGAGTTCTGCGTTTGGGCGAGGTCTTGAGGATGTGCTTCTCACCGTGAGCTGCGCCGGGGTGCGCATGCGGCTTCGATCCGTTCGGTTCGGTTGCGCCTTTGGTATGGGGGCGCCCCCAAGGCTGAGGTTGGCGCCGAGCCCGTTTCAGATTTGGCCCCCTGGGCCGCGTTTCGAGCGTTAGCGAACGCAAGTGGCACACAGCGGACTAGGCCCAAGTGTGCCAGTGTGTGCCAGTGTGTGCCAGTTGCCCTAGCTTCCCTGCAAAGAGCAGGTATCATTTCTTAGGCGCGTCAAAAGTTCGGAAAGGTTGCGCCTGAGCAGCTTGGCCGCACTTTGGGCACAGAAACCTGCGCGAGGCTTACCATGGAGACGCCCGGGGGCCGAGAAGCAACCTTAGCGCTCACTTGGGGCCGAGTCGGCTTCGAGGACTGATCTGCATGGCGGCTGTGGCCTACCTCGTCCCCGTGGCTCGGCTCGAGCGAACGTCTTTGGAAAGTTCTCGAAGTCCCAAGGGCTGGTGTGGACCCTCTCGAGGTCCAGGACTGACAGACATAGACTAGACATAAACGTGTAGACAGACGTGAGAGAGAGAAACTGAACGTGAGTCGAGAGCCTTTCCAGGCCACACAAAGGTGCGGGGTGCGAGGGGGTGCGAGGGGCCGGGAGGGGGAGTGAGGGGGAGGGCGGAGCGGTTTGAAGGTGCGCCGCGGGCGCAAGCTGCGGCACCTGCGCTTCCAGCGCGATGTCCCGGCACCGGCGCTCGAAGGACGGGAAACGCGAAACAAAGATGTCAAAAGGAATTCAAGAGTAAAAGCATGTAAAAGCGAAAAGAAGAGATCTGCTCTTTAGTTCCAGGCAGGCTCGAGATGCTTCAGCTGCCAACACGTTTCATAGGCACGCTGTGCGTGTCGAGTGCTTCGAGTGCTTCGAGTGCTGCGTGCCCTCAGGTGGCGCTTACTTCTTGCTAATGCTGTCCGTTCCACCAGCAGATGTGGGGACCCGTCACGGGATGTCACATCCATGGCAATCAAGCGAGAGGCCTTCATGGCGGTGAACAAACCTCCAGAGGCCTTCCCAAGGCGAACCGAAAGGAAAGGGGTGACGTGACATGGAGGCTTGTCTTCTCAGGACCAATCTGACGCTCCTTCTTGACTCCGGCCAACAGCTCAGATCCACGTCGGGGCATCGTGCATCTCGTGTTTTCCAGGTCTCACAGCAGCAGTGATGCTCACCTCAGAGGCGTGTGGTTTTTTGAGGTTTCGAGGTGCGCGCAAACCTTCAGGTTTGCAAAAGCCTGAAGCTGGCGGTCGGCAGTGCAGACCTTGGCCCGACCCGACCCGACCTCTTTGGGATCGCTATTGATTGCTCTTGAGGCGAAGGGAATTTCTCCTCGGGTTTGGGCGCCATCGGTTCCATGGAGATGCAGCAGGCGCGATGTGATACAATTGGAGCGATGCGACCGATTCGCAGGTTCGCGTGGAGGGCGCTGCCCTCTCGGATGGCGAGGTGGGGTCTGGGGGCGTGTGCTTTTGGATGCAAGTTGCTTTGCGTGGCCTGAGCGGAATAGCGGAATTTTGCTGAGGAGTCCTATCCTCTATCCCCGCTGGCAGGCGCATTTCGAAGAAATGGGCGGCGCTACGTTTCTCCCATCCCAAAGTATTGTATGATAGTATGTCCCAAGCGGGATCAGTCAACACGGTGTTGATTGATTATTTGGCCCTTCACGAGGTTGAGCTTTAGGTTAGAGCCTTAGGGTATGTCAAAGGTTTCTTCTGGGTGTCCGGCTTACGTGGAACCAGAGAGAAAGTTGTAGAGAGCGGAGAACGAGAAGAATGGAGAAAACAAATTACACCTGCACAAACCCCCGATAGCAATGATTGCACACCAGCACCTTTGAACAGCAGCGCCCCAAACAGCACCCGGGCCGTCAATCGAGCAACAATGCGCCGGCGCCGTCACTAGCATCCTCCAACAGCACCCCAAGCAGCATCCCAAAAAGAACCTGCACGCATGCCCCCCCTGCGCCCTGCCTTCAATCTCGCAAAAATGCGCCTGCGCCGTCACCCTGAAGAGCGAAGAGCACCCCAACCAGCATCCCGCCCCAAGCACCCAGCCGTTGCAAATCAGCCAAACAGCATCCAAACACTACCTGCAACAGCACCCCAAGCTGCATGCCCCCTTGCACCCTACCGTAAAGATGCATGCGCCTGCACCATCACCTGCATGCCCGATAGCAGCCGGGCATCAAGCTCGCATGCGCACCTCAAACAGCTCCCCACACTGCTCCCCCTGCACCCTGCCGTCAATCTGCCCGCAAGGTCACCCTGAAGAGCACCCGAAACAGCACCCCCCCCAAGCTGCACCAGCGCCCCAAGCTGCATGCCCCCTAGCACCAGCCCATCAATCTCGCAAATCACTTTCCCCTTGTTATTAGAAGTTAGAACCCCTATAGGTTTCAGCTATTTGGGGAATGAAGAATTACACCAGCATAGACCCCAGATAGCGAAACGTGTGCCAACGATAGTACGCCAGCACCTCTAACAGCACTGCCCGAAGAGCACCTCAACCAACACCAAACAGCATCCCAAAAATATTGTAGCACCTGCACAAGAATCCCCAAATTGCATGCCCCCTAGCACCCTGCCGTCAATCTCACCAGGCCCCCAAAAACAGCACCTGCACCAGCCGTCAATCTCGCAAAACGCCACGCTCGTCACCAGCCCCTCAACACTATCCGCACCATCACCTCGAACAGCACCCCCAAACGGCACTCCCAAACCACCCGGCTGTCAATCTCGCAAATATGTACTCGCACCGTCACCAGCACCTCATCTCAAAACACCACCTGCGCCAGAACCCAGAATGCATGCCCCCTAGCACCCTACCGTCAATCTTGCAAAGGTGTGCCCGCAGCGTCACCGGCACACCCCAAAACAGCACCAGCACCAGCACCCAAACTGCATGCCCTAGCACACTGCCATTAATCCAAATAAACTGCGCCCGCACCATCAAACAGCACCCTAAACCCCTAGCACCCTTTCCCTTCTTTATCAGAAGTTAGAACCCCTGAAGCTTTCAGCTATCTGGGGGAAAACAGAAGTTTCGGATCAAAACTCCGAGATGCAAATAGAACATAAAAAGACTAGAAACAGAGGAGAACAACACAAATGTTCGAAGCTTCAAATCGAGTCCGAAGGCGTCGTGGTGGACAACTTCCCTCAGCTGCGCCTTTCCAAGAGTGTCGTAGCGTTGAATGAAGATATAGCATGTATCTAAAATGTACCTAGTGTAGCATGTGATGTATTACTTTGTACTTCGAATTGTGCAGCATGTGCTTTTGTGGCTGCACTATTTACGTCAAGGCCCTGAACCTATTGCCAGTGTGGTGGATGCAGCATGCCCTGCTGAGGAAACTAACTTGGTGCTGCGCTTCAAACTTGTACATTTGACATCATTTGAGGTTTACAGGTAAGGATAGTTCCTTCTATTTTACCATGGACAGTTTCTGTTTCGGAGTGAAGTCCGTCTAAACTTCACACGCTGACGCATTCACTTTTCAACTTAGGAAGATTGCGGACGAAGTGGGAGTGGTTCTTCAAGGAATGCTTGGACAAGGCTTGGGTTTGTGTTCCGATCTTGGCCCTTGCTTTGCTCACGCAGGCTTCATGGACCAATTTGACTTAGAGCTGGACCGATCGGCTCGCGTGTGGAGCGCACAGCGCGTTTGAACCGGTCGGTTCGGCAATTTTGCGCTGCTCTGTAGGACGCAGCAAGGAAGCAGGTGAGGGCCTGGCCCAGGGCGTCCTTGCCCGCAGACAGTGGGCCCCACTGGCGGCCAGAGGCCCAGAAACCACCTTCTTCTCTCTTTAGCGAGAGAGATGCGAACTCAGGCAGCTGGAGGCGTTGGGCATGCCCGGGCGCCTGCAGGCCCGGCTTCATTTTCGGGTGTTTGCTCAGATTTCAGAGTTTGGTATTGTTGCAGTTTCGCCCGCAAATCGCCCCAGGGCTTGCTGCTCACTGTCCCCGGCTGCTTGGAGCCTGTGGTTGGGCTCGTCGACACTGGAGCATCTCACACGGCCGAGCCCCAAACAGGATGTTGCCAGCTATGCTACAATTGAGCTGCGAGGTTCTGAATCGCCAAGCAGCCTATGTGCTGGGTTTGCGGGTCAGCGCCAGCAGCGTGCAATGCTCCGATCCTCTCGATCTTTTCTCTCCGTCTCGGCTTAAGCCGCAAGGGCGCAGCACTTTCAGGCGCAAGAAAGCGACAAGCACAAGCGCAAGCAGCCAGCACAAGCAGCGCAAGCAGTGCAAGCGGCGCATAGACACGGCAGATGTAGACGGCAGGGCACAATAGCGAAAGTGAAGTGACCAGCGACCACTTTTAGCACGAGAGCGAAACGGAACTCCGCATGTGCGTGTGTAATGTTTCAAGAACCATTGCCATGGCAACAAATTTCTACGGAAGTGCTTGTCTGGCTGCGCCAGTTGACGGAAGAGGAGCTTTCAGAGTCCAGCGTCTTGGCGCAGGACTTATTGCGAAGAGGAGCTCTCGCACTTCTCTTCTTTGCAAGTCGTGCAAAGAGGCAGAAAGGTGAGAAAGATGAAAAACAGGCGTGCAACGCCCTACTTTGCATCCGTTTGCTGGCGCAGCAGCTTCAAGTTCTGGCAAATGTGACTGAAGGGTGGGAGACAGAGTTGCAAGACTTAGCAGTGGTCCTGGGTCACTGGGTGTCCACAGACTGGTGCTCGCCTCGCATTGAAGTGGTGGGCTACCTTCCGTGCTGCAGTACCCCGGGGAGCTTCTTGTTGGGCCACTGCAGCCACAACGCGCTCAAAGCGGTGCTGGATGTCGTGATGTGCGAGCCTCAGATTCCAAGCTCACTGGACGTGTGCCGTGCTTACGGAGGTTGGCGCCGAAGCCAGATCAGGACGGGAACGGGACGCCTCGCTTGCGCTTGCCTTTCCCTTGTTTCAAGTTTGCGAATTACACGAGTCTTCGAGTCTCTCCTTTTCAAGTCGTCTAAGTTTCGAGTTGTTTGTTCTTTTTTGGCGAGGTTTTGCCGCTTTTCTTGTTTCCCTTTTCTCTCTCGCTTTTGTCTTCTCTCTTCTCTCTTCTCTCTTCTCTCTTCTCTCTTCTTTCTTTTAAGCTCTCTTTTTTCTCTGCGTCTTTCCTCTTCTCTTTTTGTTCTTCTTCTCTTCCTGCTTTTGTCTCTTTCGTCTTCCCTCGTCTTCTATTTCTTTTTTCCCTTTCCTATCTTCTCGTCTTTTCTCGTCTTTTCTCGTCTGTCTCTTTCTCTTCCTTTTTGCCTTCCTTTCCTTTTCCTTTCTCCTTCTCTTTTATTCAAATCCACTTCTTTCTCCTCTTTCTTTCCTGTTCGTTTTACTTCTCTTTCTCTTCCTTTCTTCTTCTCTCCTCTTCTCTCCTTTCTTTTTCTTCCTTTCTCTCCCTTCCCCTTTCTTTCTCTTTCTCTCCTTTCCTCCTTCCTCCTCTCTCTCCTCTCTCTCGAGTCGGAGCTGGGGCGGCAGCGGCTGCTGCAGCGGGGCGCCTGGCGCGGCTTCAGCCCCGCGCCAGGCGGCTGCCACTCCGCCTTCCCGCCAGGCGAAAAAGACCGAGACACCGAAACCGAAGCGAAACGCAAACGAAAAGAGAAATGGAAGAGATGGAAGAGAATAGAGAGGAAAGAGAGGAAAGAGAGGAAAGAGAAAGAGAGGAGAGAGAAAAAGGAGGGAAAAGAGAGCAGAGAAGAAGAGGGAGAAAGAAGACGAAGAGAAGGGACGGAGACGAGAAGAGAAAGAGAAGAGTGAGAAGACGAGAGATAACCAACGATCTAGCGTTGACCAGGCCTTCCTCTTGAAAGTGTTTCCGCTCTGTTCTGGCTGCTGAGTTGCTTGAATCAAGTTGGCCAATGTGTTTCGACAGGTACAGCTTTGCACCGCTGGGAAGAAGTGACAGCAGCTGGGCTGGCGCTCCTGGCAGCAGCGCATGACCGTGCGGAACGTGCGGTGTTGGTGTGCGGAGGCGACAGCCTTTTGGCCTCCTTCTTGGCCCAGCACGCCCCCGAGGTGGGAGAAACGAATCGTAAGTCAAGCATTCGATTCCCGACTTTTTTGAGACATTCTTGGCATGAGCATTCGGGGAATCAATGGAATCAGCACGGATTGTTCATTTGCGCGTCTTGCGCGGCTTGCGTGGCTTGTGGCTCAGGTGGAAGTTGACTTTCTGGAGCAGGCCGAGGTGCTCCCGCTGTTGCAGCAGCACATGGGGCTGCGATTGGGGGGCCCTGGCCGGGCGCCGGGCAGCCGCAGAGTTGTCGCGGATGTCGCGCATGGGCCCGCGCAGCCCAGCAAGCCCAGCGAGCCCAGCGAGCCCGCAGTGTCCAGCGAGCCCAGCACCTACGACGCCGTGGTGCAGCTCGCCGGTGCCACGGGCAAACTGAAGCTCCGGGCGGGCGGCTGCCTGCTGGTGGAGAGGGCGAAGTCCTCCGATGGCTTGGAGCTCACCGACCTCACCGACTTGGGAGAGGAGCCGGAGACCAGCGAGTCTGCTTTGTTCCTGGAGGAACCTTTGCGCCTCGGCAGTTTTCTTCTCACCGCTTGGGTTTCTGCCGTGCTCAGGTCGCCATTTCAGGAGTGCCTCTCCCAAGCTGCAATCTTGGCTGCATGTTGCTATCAAGACACTGCGAAGGAAGCCAAACTCATCGAAACCACATTGGGGCTGCAATGCTTTTGCCTGGGAAGCTTCGGAGCAGCGAAAGGCGCTGAAACTTGCATGGGCATCACATTAGATGCGTCCTTTTAAGTTCTGGGATGAAGATGTTCTGACATAAGTTGTAATATGAACAAGTTCAAGGGTCCAAGGGTCCAATATCGCAAGCCATTCAAATCCCTTGATGTCTTTTGGGCTCGGCGCAGGACTTGATTCGCCCAGAGCTGTGGTTTGCGCGGCTGCTTGAGCGCGGAGGTGTTCAAGGCGGCGCTCCTGACGTGCTTGTGGCCCAGCGGAGCCAGGCGGTTCAGCCGAGAGGTTTTCTTCTAAACTGTGGCCCAAAGTTCTGAGGCCATGGAAGTCGAATGTGCTTTGGAAGACACCGAGCTATGTTGACCACTCGACCAACTTGTGCTTTGCCGTGACTTTGCTGTGCTTTTGCTGCGCTTTGTGGTGCTTCACCCGGCTTGGCACAAATGCTTAAAGGTTTTCGACTTCCTTTGAACATTGGCATTCTATTTTGCCTGATGCTGGCTGGAAATGGCACTTGGAATGCCCATTTTGCAGTCCACCCGTTCGACCTAGTTCATTTTCCCGACAGCTTTTGTTGCCTCTCTTTTCTGGTGAGTCCTCGCATGGCCAACGGGTTGTTGAAAGAGAGAAAGAGAGAACGCGAGAAAGAGCCATGTTTGTTTAACGTCTTTCCAGGTGGTGCGTGCGGGGCGGCTCGACATGGAGGACCTGGCAGCGCTGCGGGCGCTGGCCATGGCGGACTTGGGCAGCGAGGTGCGATCCCCGGGCTCCGCTGCCTGGCAGGCGGGGGGGAAGACGTGAGCCACGACTTGGAGAAGGCGCTCGGGGAGGCAGCCAAGGCATTAGAAGCTGCAGAAAGCTACGATTAAATTTGCGACACCTCCAAGCGCAACCAATTCAAGCGCTTCGCTTCGAGCATTTGCATCAGTCAAGTCATTCACGCCATTGGAGCCATGTACTGCTTGTTCCGCAAATTTGATTCTTCTCCACTTGTTCCCCGTTCCTTTTTCCATGCTCACTCGCACTGAGTTCCTTTGCGCGCTGTGCGACCTTTCATTCAGCGAGCGGTTTCTGCAGACGCCGCCTTGCAGCAACCCTTTATCGCCGTTGACGCGCAGCTTGCAGAACACCGTGAACATGAGAAGTGTTTTGTGACGCGCCGTGCCAGAATGCACAGCGCCAAATACGCAACTTCGAGGCGGATTCAAAATGCAAAGCAGTCGGAAAGGTTGATTCAGAAGTCGGATGCTTCAGAAGTGAGACGAAGCGACGAGGTGATGTTTCTGCAGAGCGATGGCTTCTTCGAGACTCATGCGCCAAAGCTGCTTCAGCGCTTGAGCTGCCTTGCAAGGCACGTCATTTGTGAAGGAGACAAGAGACTTACAAGCTCAGACCAGGTACCAAAGAGTATTCTAGCCCAAGGCTTACATAAGCGAACTTGGGCTTTTGCCAGGTCTGTGGCGCTCCAAGAAGGATGGCTCTCCAAGTCCCAAGCAGAGCGTTTGCAGGCGCGGGCGTGCGACATGCACGTGACCCGACTCGGGTGACATGGGGCACGGGCGTAGGGTGTGGCGCGTCGATAGAAGGGACTCTGAGACCCTGAGGCGCGCGTTGTCGAATGGCACTGCCAGGAGAATCGGAACGAGTCAAAAGTCGAAGCTTTGGCAACTGAAGATGTCGTTTCGCTGAACTTAGGAGTCACCAGGCCCTGGCATTCCCGATCCGCGGCACTATGATATGGCCGGGCACAAAGGAGCCCAGCCGGCCATGTCAACCGACTTGAGGACAGCCTCGTCACAGTGGATGTCATGTGCTCGGACACTTGGACTGCGATATAGGACTTTTAGTTTCGACTTCGACGGGTGCAAAGTGGCGACAGGAGCCTGGCTTGGACTTCCGGGGTGGTGAGCTGCGCACTCTGGAGCTGGACGGCCGGCTGAAGGATGGGAGAGCTTGGAGAGGTTCCAAGAAACGACATATTATATATATATATATATACACACGCGATATATTGTTGAAATACACATGCCCTTGGACACATGCCATGGTAGTACAGCTTGTACATGACCGTGACTGTACATCACCCAAGGCCTTGAGCCTCTACATTTGCCAATGAGGAAAACAGGTTGCTACAGCCGCGCTGATACACACACACAGGTCCCCAACACTAGGTTCACAGGTTACATCAAGTTTAACATGGTAGCGGAGCACAACTGACTACAGCTCCATCACACCTGGGAAAGACCCAACCAACCAAAGTACACAGTAGCACAGTGAGTGACAATGGTGACACAAGGAAGCGCACAACAGGCGCAACTCCAACAGCGACTTTCAGGAGTACACAAGTACAGAACATCACCTCCACGATTCAGTGGAGAATATACCACCTTCAAAGAATGGAAATACAAGATGACAGCATACCTCGGTTTGCAAGAGTCATCATACAACAGACTACTGGCACAAGCAGAACAATCAGCGCAAGCAATCACAAGCGACCAACTGGAACAAGCCGCGCCAGATCAGGAAACAGCAGACAAATGGCTACAACTCAGTGGAGACCTACACTTCCTTCTCGTCAACACATGTGACGGAGCAGCATCAACAATATGCAGACAGAACATGCTCGGCAATGGCTTCGAGACTTGGAGACCACTATATGTACGCTACGCACTGCCACTTGGTACAAGAAGCATTGGTTACCTTACCAAGCTACTCAAACCACAGCTGGATGAAAACAAGTTCGAGGAGAGCTTTACAACATGGGAGTTTCAACTCGCCAAGTACGAACAAGACAACAGAACACGACTACCGGACGCAATCAAGATTGCAATCCTGTTCAACGAGACAAAAGGCCCACTACAGCAGCATCTGCAACTGCAAGCAGGCAACATTACAACCTATGCACAAATCAGATCATTGGTTGTGGAGTACCGCAGAGCGGCACCACAAGCGGCTACAAGCAATGACAACCAAGGTCCAACACCAATGGACATAGGAGCAACATGGTACAACAAAGGAAAAGGCAAGAAAGGAAAAGCAAAGAACAAAGGAAAGCACAACAAAGGAAAGGGCTACGGCGGCTACGGCAACTACAACAATCACAAAGGAGGAAAAGGAGACAACAGATACAATCAGCCAATAGGACAAGGAAATCCGTTCAAAGGAGGATACAACAACAAAGGAAAAGGAAAAGGGTACCACAAAGGTAAACGATACAACAACTACGCAAAGGAGGCAAAGGAACAAAAGGAAAGCACGCCACAAATGTGTGCTACAGATGTGGACAGCCAGGACACATGGCCAAGCAATGCAGAGTGGCCATCTACAACTACGACAACAACAACACGGAAGACAACGACGTCACAGATGACTAGTACCACAACAATCACGACGATGTAAACTGGCACCACATTGACCAGACACAGCAGCATCCCAACCAACAACAACTAGCATTACAACAAGGCAATGAACAGATGCCTTTGATAGTCTCTGGACTTGAAGAAGTGATCATTGCTACAGCAACAGCGCAACAAGGAAGTACAAACAACAGATACATCGATCTCATGATCGATAGTGGAGCAGCCACACATGTCTGCCCACCATGGTTCGCAACAGAATCACAATTACAACCATTGACGCAGGAAAATGGGCCACAGCTGAGGACAGTGACAAACCAGCCAATCAAGCTGCATGGATACAAATGGGTTTGCATGAACAACATCAATGGACAACGCGTTGTCATACCGTTCTACGTGTGTGACATCAAACAACCCATACTATCAGTGACAAGACTGATAGAACAAGGATTTCAGATTGTGCTGGATGACAATCCAAGGATACACCATGACAAAGGTTTCGACAGCAGCCTCACACGGTCACATGGACTACTCTTTCTACAAGCAGAGATCACAACACTGCCACAAGGAACAGAATTGAAGGTAGACAGCACAGAACAAGGACAAGTGGCGATGATAGCACCAACAACAGCACTGACACCTCAAGGAGCACAGTACACAGGATATGCAGGAGACTACTGGCAATTCAACAGCCAAGGAGAGCTCGTCAGAGTACATCGGCAATACAGGAAAACAATGTTCACACCAACACGAACACAGCGCCCGGTTTCAACAGATAGACTTGAGAACTACAGAAGAACAATGATCAAAGGAGAGAACGGCGCAACAAGGACAATAGAGGATCGATACCAACATCTAGACAATCCAAACCAGGCACAGCCAACACTTTGGAAAGGTGAGACAGTGTAACCACAAAAGAGGATAACAGGAAAGCAACCACCACAAGCAATACAACAGCAGCAGACAGACACGACTGGGACAGGACAAGGAATCCCACATCCATCGGAACTACAACCCGGTGGAGGCTACTGGTACAGAGAAGGGCCATACTGGAAGAGAGTCCACGTACAACCACGCGCAGCCGACTACATACCAGAGCAAACAGACGATGGACCAGACGTCTCTAAACTGAGCACATACAGGCTGGCAAAGATACAACCAACAGCAGGAGGAAGCATCAAGGTGGTACAGGACGAATGGACAACAGAACAGTCAAAGACACACGACGCATCGTGAACCGGCTGGACAAACTTCGAAGAACAAGAACAGTACCCGGCACAACTAGAATCAGATGACGAAGAACAACAACAAGGAAGAAAGGCTAGAGCAGCACAAGCGCCAAAACAGCCTACACCACAAGAGATACTAGAACACAACGTGACACACTCTCCATACAGGAGTTGGTGTCCAACATGCGTACAGGCTCGCGGTCGGGCAAACAATCACCCGAAGCAACAGAGCGCAATGCAAATCATACAGTTGGATTTTGCATACCTAAAAGGCTTTGACGACAGCAAGGTACATCCAATCCTCACAGCCATCGACATACAATCAGGCATGATGATGGCACTACAACTCTCGGAGAAGCAACGACTCTTTGACTACGCAGTACAACAACTAGAGCAGTTCTTGGTAGAATGCGGCAGAACAACACATGTGATACTACAGTCAGATCAGGAAGACTACCTGGTCGCACTTACAAAGGCAGTGGCAAACACAGGAACATAACCACACGCACTTCGCCAGCATACAGTTCACAATCACAAGGAGGAGTAGAGCGAGCGCACCGCACCCTCTTTGGACAGATACGAACACTGAGAGCACAAATCTTCCAGAACTACAACAGGACAATCGCCATGAACCACCCCATCATGCCATGGATAGTGCGACACAGTGCATACATCGTGAACAGATACGCCATACACGCAAACGGCTTCACAAGCTTCTACAACAGATGGCACAAAGAGCAACACACTCCACTGTGTGAATTTGGCGAAACCATAGAACACATGGTCTCGTCAATAAAGCAATTCCCAAAGCTAGAACCACGCTTCTTTACATGAGGATACAACCACAGGCGAATCCCTGATGGGGATATACAACAAGATCATACGTGCACGTACGATACGACGACAGATCAAGCCACACAAGTACAACCAACAACTCTTCGATGTGATCAACATGGGTCCATGAAATACCAGCATCGGCACTTGCCACGCCGACAATGCCGACGACAACCATGCCGACAACACTGCCATTGCCACGACGAAGACAGCAGGCAGCAAAGCAACGCAAGGATGCAACCACAAGCACATCCTCAGACGGCAAGCTCAATACAGGAGAACAAAAGGATGGAGGCTCGCCAAAGAAACAACAGAGAACACAGGAACCCACATCGCCGATGGCAGCAGCTCCACCAATGACACAACGACCAGCATTGCCAATGCCTACATCATCAACAAGACCACTACTGAAGTTACAGAAGGCAGCGCAAGCAAACAACAGAACACAACAACAGAAGCACCAGAAAAGGAAAGACCCACTACAGGAGAACAACCACAACGCAAGATGAAGTAAACACACGGGATGGCAAACATGTCGAGACAACGTCAAATGAGGGTCCACAAGAGATAGAAAATGAAAGGATACTACTGGAACCCATCCTACATGGCACAGAAGGACTTGACCCAACAAAGGTAGCAACAGGAATGAAGAAGGAGATACAATAAATGAAGGAACAAGGAGTCTACACTGAAATAGACGGCAACACCCGTACAACAGAACAATGGCACAACGTCGTAGAATCCAGATGGGTACTACGACCAAAGCAACAAGAAGTACGAGCACGAATGGTTGCAAAAGTGTGCACTGGAAACATCAGCGACAATGACCTCGTCTACGCAAGCGCACCACTGTTTTGTATCCTGAGGATATTCCTTACAATGGCACTGTCGAACAACTGGTCAGTACGCACAGGAGATGTCAGCGTAGCATTTCTACATGCACCAGCAGCAACACTCAATATCATCATGAGACCACCGCCTGAGTTTTGCGATGACAGCAACAAACACATCGTGTGGAAACTGAACAAAGCAATCTACGGCTTGAGGTCATCACCCAAACAATGGCAAGACCACATAGCAGAAGTGCTTGACTCAAAACAGACTCGAACGTCAAAGCAGGCGCGGCTTACATCATGGTCTACGTGGATGATCTACTGTTCATTGGTGAACAGAAAGAGATAGACATCCTGTTGACAAGATCATGAAACATGTCCTGCTTCGACCAACAGGACAGCTCGCAACCGGCAAAACAATCATCTTCCTAGCAAGAGACATCACTCACAAAGGAGACCACATGGACATCAGTCTGGGGTTTCTACATCGACAACATACTGAAGGAGTCCAACATGACCACATGCAACGCAGCACCAGCGCCCGGGATTTCACATCCCAAAACTACAATAGAAGATGAGACAGCTCTTGACCAGGAACAACATTCAGCCTACAGGCGTTTGGTTGGCAAGATACAATGGCTAGCACACCCAAGGCCAGACATCAGCTATGGAGCAAAAGAGTTGGCCAGA